TTTTTCACAAAATATATGGGTGATGCTGTGATCATGGATTAAATAACGGTAAACAAGGCTTATTTTCAGGGTCATGTGGGCTAGATCAGTACGTAACTTCCTCTAATTCTGTTACCTGTTGTGGGGAATATTTTGTTTCATTTCTTTATTAACAGTATAGCAAAGCCATGAGATTGATGTATGTACGGGCTCGTGTATAACGCTAAAACTAATATATTATGTAGTGAATAATATATATGGTGACGTCTATCGTATATCATATAAAAGTCGGTGTATATCGTACACCAGACAATCTCCACAATACGCATTCATGTCGACGATTAGCATAATTGCGGGTTCCATTTTTTACACTCTAGACATTATACTATACTCTAATAACCTTTGATGGATACACTTTAGACTATAATTTGAATTACATGTATTTCAAATACAAACATCTAAAATTCATGTATTTCAACTTCATGTATTTCAACTGCACTTATCGAAACCCACTCTTATATATTTATATGTTATGCAAAATCCAATAAATTCTTTATACAAAGATATAATTCTCATAATTCGGGATGCAACATAATATATTTTTCTGCTTGGGAACATTTTGGTACATAGGAGACTTTTATTCTATGCTTACATTCACCATGTTGTTGCACATGGGCCTTAGGCGCTCTTACGGTGGGTGAAAGTTGACTTTCTTCGAAATCGACCACACTAGTTTGCATTTAGCTATTTACTGTGGAAGAAATTAGATAAGAAATAATGCTGTTCTAATTTCTAAAACAAAAAAGTCGCTCGATAGGCGCCTCAATCTTGCCCAAAAGTAATGCAACCAAGCTTGACCAAAAAAAGCTTATTGATTAACGTCAAGTCAACAAATAATTGTGCTCGATCTCATTCATCGGGGAGAAAAAAGAAAGAAGAAATAATTATGTTATCTAAGTTGAGTCTTAATTCAATGACGAAAACTAGATCTAGTAATGCACATGGGATCGTGCTATATATCTAAAATGTATCGGCCCATCTCTAATTCATGCATCATAAGTACGTAATACTAATTAACTTAGGTAATGAAATGAAATTCCTAATAGTCATATCATGATATTACCACGTGTTTAGAAAGGTTAATATTTTCTTTGCTCAAAATATTAGGGGTATTGAAATGGTTACCATGGTAATTACCAAATCAAATAAGGTTAAATTCTATTACCCATGCAATACAATATCATAACCTATCGTCCAAACTAATAGAATACGAAGTTAAATTTTAATCAGTTTGGTTAATTGGTTAACCAAATTAACCAATATAACATCATATTTATCATTAAGTGAGAAATTTTTTTCAATTAATTCATCAATTTGCAATTTATATAATGAATAAAACATAACAAGCAACACAAAGCTATAGTTAACCCTCAACATAAATATATGAAACTAATACAATTATTTTACAGTCAATAGAATTTTTCACCTAACAAAAATATATGCTGATGGTATGGTTAATGAATTGTTTTGTTTGTATGAATTGACTTAATTAGTCTCCTATCAATTCTCATAGGCTGAAAAGACCTCTCTTTCAAGTCTTCATACAACACAATGTACGAGCTTTTATCCAAATTAAGCTTCCATATATTGTGGTATACAGTCTACAAATACAAATCTACGGTATAGAAACAATATTGAGCTTTATTATTTATGAGCCTAAAAAGGAGAAACCTTTGTCTCTTGAGTGACTATGCAAAGTATTAAGTATGTGTATATAATATACTAGATATACGACTAATTACTTAACTGGTTAATTTGGTTTGATTAGTTAGGACTTAGGAGTGTCTGAAACCAAACAAACCACCTAAACCAAACAAGCTAAAAAATTTAATCAAATCAAATCAATTACCCAAATTAACCAAACCAAATTATTCAAATACTACCGGTTAAATGATTACCACGATAACCCGTCGAAATTTTTTTGGTTTATGACTCATATATCCATGGAAAAGAATTTTTCCAAGTAAGAGACATGGGAAAGAAAATATGGATATGGTAGGCCGCCGATACTTTGCCTTCCTACTCCACCTAATTAGCCACTACCCTTTTTGGCACAATATCCTCCGTAGACCATGGAAGTGACTAATTGAAGCAACATGTTCAAAGAGTCTTAAGGCGTCGTTGTTATTAAGTGGATGTATTTTTTTTAACTAATAATGAATTTCGGTTGCAAAGGAGAAAAGAGTTTTTGGCTCACATTACGGTTAAAAAGAAAAAGAAAAGGAAAAAAAACATAATGAAAAGGAATTAAAGCGTGAAAGACAGGACATACATGCATTGCATCAAAACTTGGGGAAGGGGAAGGCATTATTCTTGTGGCTAAAGCAACCAAAAACCGAATAATTAAACATGGCTTCCATCAGCTATATGTTCATCTTCAAATAATAATTATAAAAAAAACACAAAATCTATATTGGCAAATATATATAATATTGGATTTACCTGTTTTAATTAATCCGTCGCAATGTGCATCTTGTCTAATAGTCCACTCATATAGATAAACTAACAAATTTTATAAATTATTAACAAGTCTAACTTGTAAGTTAAAAATGAATTTACTTACAGCTGAGTCGTTAGTTGAGGTGGCTCGCTAGTCACACTGTCGAAGTCGGTCATAGCTCGAAAAGGGCTAGCTCACGATTTTGGAATATCCCAAAGTTTTAGACCGCAATTGATGTTCAAGTTTCGGGCAAGTGAAATTTTTAGAAGATCCCAAATTTTTCTAGGATAAAATTAAAATATCATCATACCTTGTGCCGAAATGTATGTGTTATATATCATTGGATGACGATAAAATTAAAGAAGCTTAATAACCGATCAACTAAGTCATCGTCCGTCTGCAAGTTTGCTGTCTCACGTAATGCTTTTCATATTTTCCGACGTCGAGGCAGCCTATTGTTACATTAAGCAAGCGCAAAAAAAAAAAAAGACGTTGTACGGTGCACTTAATTTGTACTCTTCTTCACCAGCCACCCAGATTCTCATGGCCCTGCTAGTAGTTTCTTGTCTTTCTGGTAAGGTCCGGAGGAGTATAATAAAACCATCAATTTTTGTTTAGATTGTTGGGCCAAGATGATATTCATCAATTTTTATGGGTTTTTATCTCGTAATTATGCACAATAGATTATCAGCAGGTTGCCTTCGAAAAGGGGAAAAAACACTCTCTCAAATTCTTTTAGTTCGCCCGAATTATACCTTTACTTTTTTGTATCAATTAATACATTAGATAATTAAAAAAAAATTATATCCCAAAAATATAGTTCGATGAACCCCGATTCCTTTTTTGCAAGGGTGATTAATTTTGTATTTGATAATATTGATTGAGATACCGATATTATTTAGTGATTGTGATTTGGATTGATTTTAGAGTGTGATTCGATATTCTGGATTTCGGTATTTGGTATTGAGATCCCTACACTGTACCAATTTTCACCTCCTAGTACTCATTCAGTGATTCAAAATATGGTAAAACGTTAACAAAAGTGTATCCGGTAGGGGGTGTAAATTAGCCTGACCCGTCCTTGACCATGTCTGGCGCTTTAAGATTCAAGTTCAATATGTTTATCAAAACAACAATATTTTTTAATATGGTAATAAACAAAGACTTGGTCGAGTGATAGTATCACTAATCTTGAACCTAAAGGTCCCAAATTTGAATCGCTTAGATAGTATTAAGTAAAAAAATAAACCATATATCAAGAAAGAATATATTTTGATTCAACTTATCAACTTATATTACTCGTCCCATGATTCAAAGTATGGGGGGAAAACATAAACAAAAGTGCCTTCGGCAAAAGCAAACGGTTTTTTTCTTTTGCCAATAATTTCAGACTTTCAGATAAATCAAACTAACGGTGTCCCATGACTGCCGTTAATCCGTTATTATTAAAATCGTTTTTTTCAGAAAGACCCATTGCCGTTATTTACAGCAGACGAAACCCAGCTAACCGCCATGACCGCACATACCACTTGGCAAGCAAAGCAAAAGGGTGTTTTTCTTTAATTATTTTGAATCCAAAAGTTGTAATCTGTAATCTGTTTTTCACAAAACAAAACTTTAGTTCCATTTTATGTTGTTTCACACTTGAAATTTAGTACAACATCGCAACTTTTTTTAATGAATATATATCATCCACTTTGGTCTACCTTGTATCATTTTGTTCTTGAATCCATCATTATGATTTTTTAAAAGGTCACTCACTGGGTATGTTTAATTTCATAACACCTCTTGTCAATTAAAAATAATTTGTTTTCTTATAAACTATAGATTTCTCCCGCATTTTTTTTATGTGAGATTTTCCTAATGTGTTAGCTTTCAGTTTTACCAAAAAAAAAAAAAAAAAAAAAATAAGCAGCAAATAGACCAACAATACAATTTCATTTCTTACAAAAAAAACTGTTTTTTTTTACAAAAGATAATCTTATATTGATTCAAAAGAAGAGATAGTTACATCCTAAACGTCAGCCAGGCCTGAAAATTAAAAACACGACTCATAGTCGGATACAAATAGAGGGCCTTCCTTCAAAAAGAACTGATTCAAACGACTCAAACATAAAATAAAAAAAAAATTACCACCAAGAGTTATACTAATCTAAGTGTCAATGCACTATAAAACGATTCGCGTTTGGCAACGAAAAAAGTGATTTTTTCGTAGAAAGCCAATTCCATTTGCTGAAAAATTACACCTCCTGCAAGTCAATGGAATTTCATACATTGTTCCTCATTACCCCAATTTTTTTAATCAAAGGAAAGAGAGAGAGATTAAAAGAAAGAACTCTTGATTGCACTGTAATCAAGCTCACAAAACTTTGATTACCACAAGTTAATTAAGTTTAAGTAGATCAACTGTATCTATTCAATTCCTCCCACATTATGCAAAAGAAACGGGCCTATAAATAACCCTCCAAATCCAAACAACCAAATTCATTCATCACTACTTCCCCAATTCAACAACACAAAAATGAACAACTCTGCCCTCCTTTCCCTCCTCTGCCTCGTTGCTCTGCTCCATCAATCCCTAGCAGCTTCCCCACAATTCAATGTCATCCAATTCGGGGCAAAACCCGACGGTCGGACCGATTCGACCAGCGCCTTCCTAGCAGCGTGGAAGCAGGCCTGCAGCTCGACTCGCGGCGTCACATTGTACGTGCCGAAAGGCAGGTTCCTAACACGGAGCATGTTGTTCAAAGGACCGTGTCGTAACAGTGCAATCTTCATTCGAATCGACGGCACCCTCGTCGCGCCTTCCGACATCTGGGCCATCGGGAACAACCCGAATTGGATCGAATTCCAATACGTCAACGGCGTCACCATCTCCGGCGGCGTCCTCGACGGCAAGGGCGCACCTCTGTGGTCCTGCAAGCTCGCCGGCCGTAAATGCCCCACCGGCGCCACAGTACGTAACGGACCCGTCAATTAAATTAAGTAGTTAGCATTAGTAGTAACATTAATTAAAGTAATAAAGTAGGATTTGGAGGTCACATGGTGTGAGGCAGGGGGGCACGTGCCTAGCTAGCCTAGCCTTCCTCTGTTTTTTTGTACCCTGGGAGTAGATTTTAGTCCCTCGTTCAGATTCCTGGCTCCGTCGTGACTAATTACAGTTCAACTAATCGATTCTTCGTTTTTCTCTCTGGAAAACAGACTCTGGGGTTTTCGTTCTGTAACAACGTTCTGGTGAGCGGGGTGACGTCGCTCAACAGCCAGATGTTCCACGTGGTCATCAACTTCTGCCAGAACGTGAAACTGCAGGGCGTCAGGATCTCCGCCCCCGGGAACTCGCCCAACACGGACGGAATCCACATCCAGATGTCCACCGGCGTGACCGTCGTCAACACGAAGGTCGCCACCGGCGACGACTGCGTCTCCATCGGCCCCGGCGCGGCCAACCTGCGGATCGAGAATTTCGCATGTGGCCCCGGCCACGGTATCAGGTAAGAGTAAAAAACGCACAATAATTAATTAGACGTGGCAAAGGGCATGATTCATTTCTCATTAATGATGGAACATAATTTTTCAACTTCAGGGGATTTAATTATACTGAATTCGAAACTAATCGACCATGTGACAATGTGCAGCATTGGGAGCCTAGGCAAGAATGTGAACGAGCCAGGGGTGCAGAATGTGACAGTGAAGTCAACCACATTCACCGGAACGACGAACGGGCTGAGGATCAAATCGTGGGGGAAACCCAGCAACGGGTTCGCCAGAAACATTCTCTTCCAACATGCTACGATGAACAATGTGCAGAATCCCATCTTCATCGACCAGCGTTACTGCCCCGACAGAAACTGTCCGGACACGGTAAAAAAAATTAAAAAAATTCTTTCAGTCACCACTCTGTTTCGTTCTTCCGTAAAACAACATTTTCTCTAATCGCGTATTACGACGACGATGTGTGCAGGCCTCGGGGGTGAGAGTGAGCGACGTGACGTACCAGGACATTCACGGAACATCGGCCACCGAAGTGGCGGTGAACTTCGATTGCAGCAAGAGGAACCCTTGCAAAGGGATTCGACTTGACAACGTGAGACTGACTTACAACAAGAAGCCGGCGGTGGCGTCTTGTGCCAATGCCGATGGAACGACAATTGGGCTCGTGCAGCCCGGCAGCTGCTTGTAGCTTCAAAGCCAAGCCAAGCGAAGGAGGAGTTCAACCTCCAGTATTAATGCTGATTTGATTGTATTGAAAACTTGAAATTAGAATTGATTATAATTAAGGTTTGTTGTTATTGTAATTTGTGCGATGTGCATATGCTGGAAGCCTGTGGCATGTCCATCAACTCCTTCTTGGGTTGCTTGGACCCCGGCCTAGCATTCCGAATTTGTGAAATGTTTAATGATATTAATATTTTATGGTGTATTTCGTCCTCGATTAAGAAGAACGGACATTGTTGATAACATGAGAGTTCAGCTTCGACAAATTGTTACGAAGATCGTATAGACGTTATCAAAATGTGGCTGAAAAAATGCTAAATCAACTACAATGTTGCTAATGAGTTCTCTAAATCCAGAATAGTAGGTTATTTATCATAGTTAACATTCACCTGAACTTGAATTTAAAGCTCCAGCATTGCATGGTTTCCTTTTAGCATTCAAAATTTCAAATTATGGATTAGTGTAAATAGGACTTGATCTATTTGTGTTTTGTGGTTCCAGGTTCGAATTTGAGAATGAATTTCCCCTTCTATAAGTCTCATTTAGTAGCGTGTGAAGAAATAAAAATTTATGAATTTAATGTCAATAACCTTAATTTCCTTTTAGGCACATGGGAAAGTTCAAGAGTAAAATTAATACTTTTATCGTTAGCAATAATGATCACTCATCAGTACTAGATATTATTTACTAATTGCAAAGTAGCCTGTAATATTATACTTGATTATCACACTTAAGTCATACAAAATTATGGCTAAAATGACGACTGAATATTTTGGACCGTAGATGATGATGAGTCATCATGATGATGCAACAACATGTGCAATTAAAGAATTCATCGCCACACAAGTAGGGAGGGATATGCAATAATTCGGCTCAAGCCACTGGATCAGTCGAGCTTCGATCCAATCGAGTTTTTGCATCAATTTTAAATTCAATGCGATTTCAATTTAAAATTCAAAGCCGACTAAACCGAAAGCAAATCAGCAGCCAAATGCCTTTTTTGGTTTGATTTTAGTGCTCATAATCGTTTTACCAATCTTATAACATACGGTAACTTAATCCGAAAGAAACTACATTAAACACTTTAATAATTAATAGGATCCCTAAACAATAACTAAAATCAACTAAGAAAATAATAATAATATTGGCCGCCGAAATTGATAATGCATCAACTATGTCAAAGCTCGATAAGAAAAGAAAATAAAGCTATGAACTATTACAATTACTAAGTCTATAAGGATACGATAACTTAATCCGAAAGAAACTACATTAAACACTTTAATAATTAATACGATCCCTAAACACTAACTAAAACCAACTAAGAAAATAATAATAATATTGGCCGCCGAAATTGATAATGCATCAACTATGTCAGAGCACGATAAGAAAAGAAAATATAGCTAAGGAATTGTAACGGATCAATTTGACACAATTGTCTCGTTTTGAAACAATTGTACCAAATTGCCTCGTTTGCCAGCAAAAAATTTGGATGGATCAATCTGCCTGAGGTATTTTGAATTGATTCATTTTGAGTCAATTTCAATTACCTGGGGTGGGGGCAAGTAATTCGAATTGACTCGTTTTAATTGTCTCGTTTATAAATCGAGACAATTGATCAAATTGACTCATTTCTAGATTGATCCATCCAAACGACCCGTGTGAAAACAAACAATTTGTAGTGCATTGTTTATAATTAAAGCAAAATAAAGGAAAGAAAGGTGAGAAAATAAAGCATTTTCATATTCAAACACCACATATCACGGATAACATATGTATCCTCCAGGAGGTGGTCCACTCGATACGGGCCAAGTCGGCAGGGTGGGATGGATGGTTTTGAAGATCGATTTAGCCAAGTTTCACTGAGACTACTATGGCCTGCATCACTACGGCATCTATGCAGATCCAGTGGAACGGCGGTCTGACCAACCCGTTCACCCCTTCAAGGGGCCTCAGACAGGGATGTCCTCTTCCCCCTTACATTTTTACTCTCTGTGTGGAGCGTTAAAGTCACCTTATTACTGATTCGGTGAGAGAACAGGCCAGTGACAGCCCATAAAGCTTACCAGTAGAGGACCAGCTCTTTCACATCTATTTTTTGCAGATGACCTGATTATTTTTGGTGTGGCTTCGAGCAACCAAGTCCAGGCTATCACACAGTGTTTCGAGCTGTTTGGGGAGGCATCAGGGCAAAGTATCAGCAAACCCAAATCATGGGTTTTCTTCTCCCCAAATGTTCGTCCAGACCAGAGAGTGGCGTTGAGTGAAGAGCTGGGCATTCCCCAAACCTCCAATCTGGGACGCTATCTGGGAATGCCAGTGATCCACGACCGAAGAAGCCTTGGACATGCGAGTTGCGGACTTCGTCTTGAACAGTGAGTGAAACCAAGTTTATATTCAGCATCTCTTACCTGCTGCTGTTGCTTCCCAGGTCCTCCTCCATCCGGTGCCTAGAGGTGATGAGGATGACATTCGCTGCTGGTGCTTTGCTGCGGACGGCCGTTTCACCTTCAAGTCGGCGTATGAGCTCATTGGAGGGGAAGACGATAACAATCCACAGCAGCACCCTAATTGGCGGTCCTTTTGGAGAGTCCCAGCGCTGCAGAGGACAAGAACTTTCCTCTGGCTGGCAGCGCACGAGAAGCTGCTTACTAACGCGGAAAGAGTCAGTCGCCACCTTACCAAGAACGACAGCTGCAAAATCTGCGGCGGAGGGCCGGAGACAACGCTTCAGGTCCTTCGAGACTGTCCATTTTCCAGGGCTACGTGGGCAGATTCTCTTAGTAATGAACCAGATGGGGATTTTTTTAATCCTAACTTGGATTGCTGGATGTCTCATTATATTGCAGGGTGAAGCCGAGTCCTGGACTGTACTTACTTCGTCACTATGGGTTGGTTACTGTGGAAGAACCGGAATAGGTACCATGCACAAATCCAGGGGAAAGCTGCATAGCTGCGGCAACAAATCGTTCAAGCATCTGAGAGGAACAGTGCTGTTTTCGGAGCCGGGGGACTCCGAACACCGAGAGATATAGGTTGGACTCCACCACCTACAGGCTGGACGTGCTTAAATACTGATGGATCGGTGATAACTTCTACTGGCAGCACGACTGCATGCGGCGTCTTGCGGGGGGAAGATGGTCGCCTAATCTCAGCCTACACAGTGAACCTTGGCGGGGTTCCATTACAAGTGCATAACTATCCGGGATTGTGCATGGGCTTCGGATCGCCTGGGACGCAGGAACTAGGAAGGTTATTCTTTAGACTGACTCGACGACGGCAGCATCTCTCATAGACTCGGCAACGCCGGAGCATTTCCACTATACAACTATTGCCGAGATTCGGCAGTGGCTCCAGCGCGACTGGGAAGTACACATCACCCATGTCTACAGGGAGGCGAACATAGTCACTGATTACTTGGCTGGTCTTGGTCACTCCTATCCTATAGGCAACCATTTGGTTTCTTTGCCTGATAGCAGGCTGTCGTACTGGTTGTATCATGACACTCTTGGGGTGCAAACCACCCGTTTGATCATCGAATAAATGTTGGAGCGCCATTAGCGCTCCGTCTTCTCACCAAAAAAAAAAAAATTAGTTCAAGGGAAAATAAAGCGAGCTGATATTGGGATGCCTCCGACTCTATTTTTCCACTTTTCCCATTTTCTTTCACATTCACAGCGCCACCCGCTCCCAATAATCTCCGTGGTATGTACGAATTCTCGATCTTATAATTTGTGATTATATGTGGATACCCATTATCCGTCCCGTACGGGTAATTACATCTCAAAGGTTTGGGACATAACTATCACATAGGAAACATGATGGTACAATTGACACAAAGCATGACTAGGAAGGAAGGGAGAGATCGTTGGGCTCTCTATGGGCCGAAATGAGCCGCCTAGCAGGCTAAAGACAGAAGTGAAATGGGACAAGCTAGGGCCTGCGCACGGGCCAAAGTTTGGAGGTGAGTGGATCGAGCCAGAACCAGTTTGTGAGTCATTCTTTAGTTCAAACAAGGCTCTGTACAAAGGCCAAGTTATGGGCCTAAGTTGGAAAAAGATTGAGTTTTGAATGAGCCAAACAAATGGCTGAAAATGGGGTCGTCATGAGGATTCGAAACCATGACCTTTCAGTTCTAGGCTCTGATACCATATCAGCGAACTAACCACTTGGCCCCAATAACTCGAGTTGTTGGAAAGGGATAGTTAACCCTTTTAACCTCTAATACAACCGATCTTTCATTTTAAAATTCTGGGGTTTTTGAGCGTATGTAGAATGGTTTCGTGAGCTGAATGAGCTGAAGAATGAGTTGATAGAAGGGGAAAAGGAGGATGCACTTTTTGCTATCAGGAAAAAGATTCTGCGGATGAGATTGTCGGATGAGGCTGGTGACATATTGGATCTGTATTCCGATGATAAGGAAGAAATAGAAGAGTTTCGAGTCCCTTCGAAATTTTTTCCCTCTTATCGATGCAAGAGAGGGGGTTTTTTCAGACACTATTCCAACTTTTTCGAGCGTAAGTGTTTTACTGTTTTTCCTTATTGATTAAAGCATTAACAACGCACCCATTTTGTTGTTTTTCCATTATCATGGTTGAGTTTATTTGGATTGCTTTTGTATTTTGGATTTTTCTGTGCAATGTGTTATTTGCCAGAAAACTTTTTTCCGACAATGGACAAGAAGGTCCGAGAGGAGGTGGATTTTCGTTGGAAAGAGGGCAGCAGCATATTTGAAGAAGTCGAGCAATTGCAGGAAGATGTGGAGTGTAGATATCTGATGGAATATCTAAAGAGTTTAGAGTTGAGGGGCTCTGCAGATTTCAAATATACTGATGAATGATATAAGTTTACATTTTGTGATTAGGTATACTACTGAAGGGATTTGGGACCTCCAGGTTAAAAGCTAGTGGTATTACCATTAGACCAAGCTCTTGTACGTCATAAATTATAAATATTAACGTAATGTCATATGGAGACACGATCATCTCAATTATGTGGCAAAGTATGGTTTATGAATGAATGAAGGGACACAATTCCCAAAATTAGGGGTGCGACTTGGGTCTCGGGTCTCGTTGATGAGTTGGGAGAATGGTCGAATGAGTTCCTAACTCGAATTGGGAAGTGTGATGGATCCACGGTTTAGTCTAGTAACCCGCAATCTGGACCATGCTAGACCAAGAAATCAATAAATTCTATAATACAGACCATAGACCAGACCACACCAAACTAGACCATTCTTTTATATATATGATTCAGGATAGCCATACGCCTCAGTTCACATAGTCGTATGACGGTGGAGCTTTACTATTTAGACCACGAATTAACCGGAGGTTGGGGCATGATACTATGTCCCCTAATCTCTAATGGGTAAACCCCAATTCTTAATTTTCTAACATGACCATAAAATTTACCTAATTAAAAAATAATAATCGACGGTTCTAATTGGAAGGAACTATCATCTCCGTTTGCACCAAACGCAAATCAATCCTCGGCTCATCGCCCAGCCAGCCCCTGCAATTCCGTGCTGTACAATTTATATATATCTTTGCGTCTGGACCGGACCCGCCTATCGTTTTCTGCAATAGCAAGCTTTCTGCAAAGGGATGGCAACAAAACCCGAACCCAGGGGTACCCACCCGACCCAACCCGGTCAACGCGGGTAAAATCCGTGTTGACGGGTTTTGGGCCGGGTTTGGGTTTAAACCCGTTCACTATTCAACGGGTTGGGTTGGGTTTGGGTTTAGGTAAACCCGGCCCGTGGGTACCCGCCCACCCATATAATTAATTTTTTCGGTATATTTAATATTCTAAACAACTAATCTTATTTATGTTTGTGGGGACATGTCTAATTTTTTCTTTTTAATTGTGTAGAATGAAGTTGATGTTATGGAGTGGAGAGTAAAGAAACTTAATTGAAAGGAAGAAGCTTTCAATGAAACATGTTATTTATGGAAAATTTGTGATTTGCTTCAATTTTTTTGAGTTTTCTAGATTGGTGTTGAACAATTTGTATAGTTAATTTGTGATTTGCTTGAATTTTCTAGAATGGTGTTTTATATATGGATAATTTGTATTGAGAGATTGATATTTGACTTTAATTTTGATAAGAACTTGCAATTGTAAATTTTTTACGACAAAACCCGTGGGTACCCATGAACCCGCGGATACCCAACGGGTTGGGTTGGGTTTGAGTTTTTCAAACCCAGTGGGTTTTACCCCGGGTTTTTTTCAAAGATAAACCCATGGGTTTGGGTTTGGGTTTGACCCAACCCGACCCAACCCGACCCATTGCCATCCCTATTTCTGCAGCGAGCCAAGTGGGTTCCGTACATCCCTGCCGTGCTTTTTCTAAAACGATACATCGTGCTTGCTAGTTTTAAGCAAGTGCATTTCAACCTCGCTTAGCTTATTACGCAAAAACAGCTGATAGATCTCATTAACAATCAATTCCCCTGTACGTTCCATTAGAAAAAGCACTCCAGTCAAGTTTCTTCGTAGTGGATCCAATGAATAAAAGGAATCTTATAATTTTGAAATCTGAAACGGCGGTGAGAAAAAAAAATTGGGTTTAGAATAGAAATGTGGTGCTTGCTCCATGTTGCTTGCGCAGGTGCCGTAATACACGCATCGCAATCAATAGCCGTTATTTGCACCATAAAGAAACCCCATCTCAGTCACCGCGCCCACCGTCTTCCCATTATCACTCTTTGGTTATATATAATGGACCAAAAGGGTGTTTTTAAGTTTACTTATCTGCAAATATTACTCCAACTTGGCAATTATAATCGTAATCGTGGGTATCTGACCCTACCCAATCCGGTCAACGAGGAGAATTCCTGCATTGACTGGGTATGGGGCGGATACGGGTAATACCCGCAAAGAATCTTGTGGGGATGGGGCGGGAATGGATTTGTGCCTCGCCCCATACTCATACACATATACGCCCCGTCATTATTTATGTCTTATAATTGTAAAATATAACCACTGTAATGTAATCTAGCAAATGGACTTGAAGATTATTGTAAAACAAAACAAGGACTAAAAATGATTTATCGCAATAGTAATAAACACTAAAAATAAAAAAAAATGTGAAAAAAATAATAATTTATCAATACAGTTCTTCCTAGTAATTTTGATCGTTTAAGAAGAAGTTTGCCTCCTTAACATAATCCTCCCAATGCAAACCGAAAGATGGAGTAGCAGAGCTGCTGAGATTGCTGCAATGAATTCTTCTCTTGACCAGTCAAAACTCATGAGCATGGAAGCATATGAAGTGGCATAAAATGTTACCCTTTTGTTTGTGATAGCAGAGCTGCAATTTTAGGAAGGTTTGGTGAGCTGCAATTTGTTTGGAAACAGCGGTTTGTAACAAATTTGGAAGCTTGTATTCTGTTTTTTTCCAATAACTGTTCTTAATTATCCCTAGTCTGTGTGGACCTCGTAATTCCCAAACCTAGTTGCAGGTGTAATTTTATGGTTTTCTACGGCTGAATTCTTTTTTATGGGTTGTTAATGTGAATATCATAAGTGTAGCGCACAAAAATCATTCTAATATAAAATCTCTATGGATAAATTGTTGAATCGAACAAAGATGTCGATCAGGATAAAATAACAAACATGGTGAATCTATTTGGTATTGATTGTTAGCCTAGTTAGTAAAAGACAGTACAATTAGTTACAAAAATGAGTGTTCAATGCATCCAACTCAAAAACTAGTCTTAAGATGTCGGATTTTGAATTTTAATTTGTAGAATTAGTGTAATATGATGATATAACACACGATCACAACTAATTAACGGATTATCCTAAACCCTAACCTCCAATTTTGAATAGTATTCCTAAACCCCAAATGTAAACCCTAACCCTAACCATAAATCTCTAAACTCTAAATTCTTCAAATTAAAGTAACTCTTGAATGGTTTTTTTTTTTTTTTTTTTTGCAAATTCATGTGCTTTATTGTCCATTACATCATAAGTGATGATTGACATCATTTTGACATGAATCACATGTTTAAAATGACGATTATGAAACTAGTGCACTGAATGCACCCAAAAAAGTGAGTGCACTAATTAAAGACGTCACCATATATATATACACACACATATATTATATGGTTATCGTACCTTGGGTAGATACTAGATACTACGGTACGACATACCTTGAGTAGGAAAACGCTATCTAGACCTCGAATTAACCGGATTTTTAGGCATGATGAGTGAACCCTAGGTCTTAGTTATCTAAATCATATAGCCTAAACCCTAAGATTTTGCATGTAAATTTTTTCCCTATATTTTGACGAATCCTTACCGTTGATTTTTGTTTCTATTTAAATTGATCTTAGTGTGTAAGCTTTACAGAATTAAGACCTATCTTATAATCTTTAAAGGGGTGAGAATAATACCATATGCTAAACTCCGGTCAATTCAAGGTCTAGATATTGTTTTCTTACTCAAAGTATGTCGTACCTTTGATGTTATCCAAGGTACGATAGAACCGCCATATATTATACATATGGGTTATAAGCTTATGTATGTCTTACACCAGACAATCTCCACCGTATAGACCGACACAAACCGACTGTACCACCGCGGTCATACCATTCTACTTGTCCAACTAGCAAAACGATATCTAAATCCTGTTTGACAAACCTTAGTACCTACCCTTCCCCTTAACAATTCCAACTCATAATCCAAACCTTTTTCTTTTATTTTGCTAGAATGATATAACTATAGTTATTCCAGTACTTTCATTTATATAAAATTTAAATTACTTCTAAGACTTGTAAAAACGAATCTAAATTGGTCTGACCGTAAAGTTAGCCAAAACTCAATAAAATAATCTATCGTGTCCTTAATTAGCAGGTTATCATAAACATAAAAAAATTAATATGTCCTACTCGTACAATTGAAACGTACACCCTTCGATCTAATCCTACTTATCTCCCCAACTATAAATAAATACCCCACCTCCTTATCACAACTCACAAATACCCACGATTCATTTCGACGGTTTCCCTTTTTCTCTTCTTTTCACTTCACACAGAAAAATGGCCATTCACTCTAACCTCATTTCCCTTCTCTTCCTCGCAACAACAATCACCATCCTCACCATCTCTCCACGTCCCACATCGGCCGCAACTCGGCGGCCGCAGTTCAACGTGGTCCGATTCGGGGCCAGACCGGACGGTCGAACCGACTCCACCAGGGCCTTCCTGACCGCGTGGACCCGGGCCTGCGGTTCAAGGGTTCGGGTCATAATGCTGGTTCCCAAAGGACGGTTTCTGGTCCGAAACATGCAGTTCACCGGTCCATGCAGGAACCGGTCCATCTTCGTTCGCATCCTTGGCACCATTGTCGCTCCAAACAACATATGGACCACCGGGAACAGCCCGCATTGGATCGAGTTCCACCGGGTCGACGGCGTCACCATCTCCGGCGGCGTCCTCGACGGCAAGGGCGCCGCCTTGTGGGCTTGCAAGAAGGCCGGCCGGAGTTGCCCCAACGGTGCCACGGTACGTGTTAATTAACGTGTGTAGCTTATAGCTAATTAGCTACTTGTTGTCAAATCTCGATCGACTCGTAATTAATGTGGTTTTTTTTCTTCATAAAAAAAAATTAATGTGGTTTTTTTTTATTATTATTGGATCGGTTTGCTTGTTTTAATAATTGGGGTTTTTTTTTTCTCTGAGCGGTTATTTTAACTTTGGTTGAAAAGGGTTTAATTGTAGCTTAATTTTTTAATGTTACAAAAATTAGTTAGTTGACCTTTTGGAGAAATTTTGTTTTTTAATAATAAAAAGGCATGTGGAAATGATATTTTTTGGATCTTAGACTTGTACGTCAACTAGATCCTGATATGATGAGTGTGAGCTTGTGCTGCAATTAATGGAGCTAGATATAAAATAAAATGAAATACAAAAACGTATTTTTGAGAATTTTGCTATATATAAAAAAAATGGCTAAAACTACTGATAAACTATATACAATGACGGAGTAATTAGAAATATAAAAGAGGGACTGATTTGAACCACTGTGATTGGAGAGGAGGCTAAGGTGTTACCGACTACCTTATTTCGTAAAAATTATTATTACAAAATTTTGTATGTAATTTTATCAATATTTCAAAATTGAAGCGACTATGACCTCTCTCGTTGCTTTTAAGTTTTGAACCTAACTCCGCCATTGACTATATGGGAATGCAGACGTTGAGCATATCAAACTCCCAGAACGTGGTGGTGAGCAGGCTGACGTCGCTGAACAGCCACATGTTCCACATGGTCATCAACTTCTGCCACAACGTGAAGCTGCAAGGCGTCAGGATCTCCGCTCCGGGGAACTCCCCAAACACCGACGGAATCCACGTCCAGTTCTCCACCGCCGTGACCATCGTCAGCTCCAAGATCGCCACGGGCGACGACTGCGTCTCCATCGGCCCCGGCACCGCCAACATGTTGGTGGACAAAGTCACATGTGGCCCCGGCCACGGCATCAGGTATAAACTAAATTGTTTAAATCGCTAATTCGCCCGCATCCCAACATTACCACTATACCAAATCCTTGTTTTTTTACTATCGTGTAACGCGACTTAAAACGATTGGTCGAAATCGACGCGCGTGCACAGCATTGGGAGCTTGGGGAAGGATGTGAACGAGCAAGGAGTGCAAAACGTGACGGTTAGGTCGACCACATTCGTCGGCACGACAAACGGTTTCAGAATCAAGGCCTGGGGGAAGCCCAGCAATGGGTTCGCCAGAAACATTCTCTTCCAGCATGCCACCATGTACAACGTGCAGAATCCCATCTTCATCGACCAGCGTTACTGCCCCAACAGAAACTGTGCCGACCAGGTAAAAAAAAAAAAGGTTACACATTTTTGTTGTTGTGTGTTTTTTGTTACGCTTAATTACTTCGTAGTAGTAATAACATATAACTTTGCACCGTATACGTACCACCAGGGGTCGGGGGTACGAGTGAGCGACGTGACGTACCAGAACATCCGGGGAACGTCGGCGACCCAGGTCGCGGTGAACTTCGACTGCAGCAACAGGTCGCCCTGCCGTGGGATCCGACTGAACAATGTCAGGCTGACGTACAGGAATCGAGCGGCGGTTGCGTCGTGTAGAAATGCCGGCGGAACTGCTTACGGCTTCGTCCAGCCCAGGAGCTGCCTGTAGATCACATCTTAGCCATACCCAGATCGAGTAATTGATGGAATCATACTTGAAAATTTGAATGTTCTAATTGAATTATTAGTTGACTAATTTTCACATGGTGTGTAACATTTATTATCATATATATGCTCGAGCCTGTGGCATGTCCAGCACTTATCTCGGGGATGCTTGTGGAGCCCGGCTTTGTATTCTACGATTTATCAGTATATCAATGGACAATCGTACTATACGATTCCTTTCTCTAAGGAATTCCATAGGAAATTCTTATTGCAATCTCTAAGCCTGAGATGATTTCTCTTCACACCAGAGAATAATCAATCCGTATAGATCGACTAACAATCGAAAGCTTCCGAATCACACTTCAATATTACTCGACAAAATCAAAATTTTCTAGGGGAAGACCTCTCTCTCTTAGGATCGTTAGCGATTATCCTTTTCCTGGGGCCAAAGGAAAGGCTTTTGGTCATCAAATTAGAAGACGATTTTCGAGTGGGTTTTTATTGCCTCGTTAGAACTCTATTCTTGTTCGTTGAACCCACACTCTCGTATTCTCGTCCTTTTTCAGATCATTCTTCATACTTTGATCTAAGGGGCACTCTGGACCGCCATTTTTTTCTGAGTTGCTTCTAGTTCAAGAGTTGTGATGTCCAGTCCAAATACATGATGATTCTCTATGATATACCTTGGCCTGAAATATTGAAAAACTACCCAAAAAGCATCAAATATGTATAAACACTCCTAGAGGCTAACAAACGCATGTTGCACATAAAGAGCAATATTAGCTAAGACATATATCCAAGTGATAATGGCAAATACGGTCATGTGGGAGTTAGATATGGTAAAATCTGTGAATTGATTACTCATGGAGTCATGTCTATACAGTATGATTGAACTTGAGATAATTTAGTTGGTCATTTGAAAAAAAAAATGATTAGTTTGTGATTTGGTGGTCAAGTCTGTGAAAGGTATGAGCTTAAACTGCATGTAGTTTCCAATTGTATTATGAGATACCAAAATTCTCTCTAGTACATTGTTAGAGGTTGAATTCAATGTGGAAAACTCATTATTAGAAATTGAAGCACACAATTTGTCATCCTAAGGTAGGTATTTGTTATCCTGCATGAAATAAGAGAATGAAATTTAAATATATTTGACAAAGTGTATTGTGCGGGTACTCGGATAACAGATTCGACATACGTAAGCATGAAGTGTAGCCGCATCAAGAAACTCAGACTTTAGTTTCGTGTGCTCTTTTGAAAAGGATTGGGATATATGGTGGATAATATTGTCAATGTTACTTAGAAGTTTAATAGCTTTGGGGTTGGACCGACTAAACCGATTTGGGGTTAGACCAACCAAATCAAATATTCTAATTCAATGAAGGGACACATTTTTTTTGGATTTAGTGGCGGTTACATATTCATTGATAAGAACAAACTTATGGATAAAGATGACCTTATGATAGGGACAATCTTATAGATAGAGAGCAACATTTGAAATGGATAAGGATAACTTTTCATGTGGATATGGACAACCTTTCATATGAATAAGAGTGACATCAAAGCAACCTCTCATGAAACAATTCATGGATTCAACTCCTACATATATATGTGATGGGACGAACGATCTTAACTCATTATCAAACTGATTCTTCTTCTTCCGGAAACTTTCTATGTTTGTTTTAGCATTCTTAAACGTAGAATCTAAAGTAATGATTTCAAATCGTTCATATCTCACCTCACCCAAAAATTCAAGTCTACGATGTGAACGTACGTAACCAGCATTAGCTAGGCAATTCAGAGGAAAGTGGCGCGCAATTAGTCAAATATACAAATTTCATTATTAAATAACAAGATTCTAAATAACCAAATCTTTGATAAGTATAATGTAGATAAAATGTAATCCAATAACATATCTCGTCCCAAAAGAAAACAAAAGCAAAACATCAACTTTCAGGATGCCTTTCAGGAGCATCCTGAAAGTGTGACTCTTTCTCTATTATCTCTAGCTCGTGGTCTAGATAGAAGAGTCAGCTACTACTCAGGTTATTATATTAATGGGTTTAGATTTCACACAAAAAATCGAGAGCAGAATAGACGTACTCAAAATAGTGGTGTGATGGTGAGAGGGGAGAATAATGACAACATTTCTTATTATGGAACTCTTATTAAAGTGATTGAACTCCGATACACAGAAGGTCTTCGAGTTGTCCTTTTTCAATGTGATTGGTATGACATAACTCGGGAAGGCATTGGCTACAAGAAGGATCATCATGGTATTACTACCATCAATAAGGCATGACTATCGAATACTCAAGAGTCATTTATCTTAGCGAGTTAGTGTATACAAGTTTATTATGTGCCTTGTATAAAAAAATCCTAACTGGGCAATAGTGATTGAAACAAAGCCAAGAAATTTGTTTCAGATGCCAGATGATGATGATGATGGGGGTGAAGCATATCAAGAAGAGATGATTTCAGTGACTACTCCTCTAGGGATTAAAAATGATGAAGATTATGAAATACATTGGAGAAGAGAGGGGCTTGAAGACTTGTAGATTGAATTTTTATTTTTATTTTGCTAAAATATTTTGAGCTTTCACATTTATAGTTCTATTTTTGGTGGATGGTTTATTCTTTCTTCCTAGAAAAAATTGTGAAAGTTTCAGTAGCCTCACATTGATAGTTCTTATATATAAACTATGCCCATGCAATACAAATAAGATTTGAGAGCGTGGAAGTATATCTTGTCTTTGTCGCAAAAATATAACTTGTTGACGAACATTTTCCCTTCAAAAATTAGAGTTAGTGACGAAGGATCTTGTCTTTACCGACGATGTTTAGGCTTTGTCGCAAATAGATAAAACATTGGAGAAACATTGCTGACGAAAGTGAAATATCGTCCCTAAAATTACTTATTAGCGACAAAATATCCCGCCATCGCTATTTTTTTTTGTCAGTAACGAAAGTCTTTACCGACGACGTTCAGGTTTTGTCGCAAACACAATGTTTTGACGGAACATTACAGACGACCATATTTTATTCGTAGCAAATAACCATGGCGCCAACTTTTCTCTCCAAAAAATAGAGTTAGTGATGAAGATAACTGTCTTTACCGACGACGTCTAGACTTTGTCACAAATAGATAAATCATTGACGAGACATTTGTTGACGAAAGTGAAATATCGTCCCTAAAAGTGGTTATTAGCGACGAATTTGACCCGTCATTGCTAATTTTTATCACTAATGGCCGTCTTTTTTTAGTATCATTATCTTGTTATTTTAACCTTTTGGAGTATCGTATCGTATTTAGGCCGTCGTCGTTCAAAAAGTCCATTTCTCCTTTCCCTTCTTGTGGTGGCCCCCATATATCCAGCAACTAAATCAACGATTTCAAATCGTTCACATCTCACCTCACCCAAGAAAGTCAAGTCTACGATGTGAACGTACGTAACTAGCATTAGCGAGGCAATTCAGAGGAAAGTGGCGCGCAATTAATTAGTCAAAATATACAAATTCCCATTGCTCTGAATCAATCAAGACATCTCAGTCAAACAATATACAGAAGAATAAAAAAAAGTTGAAGAAAGAAGAATAAAAAATAATCAAGCAAACCACATCGATACACGTACAATCCTCGCCGGAAAAAAAAATAAAAGAATCTTTTTGGAACGACATTACAGCACGCAAATGAATCAAGCAATTCCTGCAGGCAGGACACAATCTGCCGTTCTTTTTTATCTTTGAACTGAATAGCTAGTGGCCGCCATGCATCGCCCCACGACCGTCGTTGACATTGACATTCCCGGCGGCGGCTATGCTGCCGGCCACCGCGTACTTGGATTCACCGGCACCACCAGCAGCAGTAGTAATACTAACAGGGGAGTCATGATGATTGGCGTGGCGCTTCCTCAGGCTGCCGGTGCGAAGCAGATCATGCTGGCCGGAGAAATGATCAGCAGCGGTGGCCGCCGGAGTCGGCATCTGAAACTCCGACCTTGTCCGGCGATGATGAGATGAGCCGCTGAAGGAGTCCGGTTGGACGAGCAAGTGGTAGCTCCTGGTGGAGCCCTCGGAGAATGACATGGAGCGGCGGTGGTGGTGGTGGTGCGGCTTGTTGTTGTTGTTGCCGTGCTTCTTCATCGCGTGGAACAGAAACGGAATCAGCCCGTCCATGGTTTGAATTTGGTTTCTGGTTGGGTTTTTACTGTTGTGCTTGCTTGTAGTGGTTTTAGAAGGAAAATTTATGGATTGGATTGTTGAGATGGAATGAATGAGGAGAGAAAGGGAAGGGATATGTGTATTTATAGTGGGTTTGTGGTGGTGGACTTTTTTTTTATATCGGATAAAGTTTGGACTTTGTGGCGACGAAAATGTTGAATGTGGAATGGTCAATTTCAACGTGCCGATTACCAGGCAGCTTGGTTAGCGAGGCGCGGAATTGGAATTAGGAAAGGTGGTGGGAAATTAGCACAAGCTAGCTAGCTAGATAGATAGAAATAGTGCCATATCCCTATTACCAAGTTGTTTCCAAAATAGTTTGAAACAGCTACTAGAAGATTTGATTAAGGAGAGCTGAAAAAAGGTTCTCAGAGATTATGAGGAGTCCGATCAAATGGTGAACTTCGAGGATAAGTTTAAAGTATCATTCTAACTTCAATATATCTCCAATCATAGGAGTTTGGAAATAAGTGGCGTTCTAGAGATGAAGAGAGTTTGTCAAGCGTAACAAGTATTTGGGTCTTGCCATGGATGTCGGGCGTTTCGAAGAAAATGCTGATTGAGGATATGAAAGATAGAGTTCGGAAGAAGAAGAAAAAAAAACTATAAGGGATAGAAGGAAAAGACTCTATCTGTGTGGCGGCCCGAGAACTACCGATTAAATCAGTAGCACAGTTGCAGTTTTCCTATGCAGTGTCAGTTTTCAAGGTACCGGATGGGATGGTTGACAAATTTCATAACATTGATAATGAATTTATGGTGGGGGTAGCCATATATATATATTGTATATATGGACAAAAATATTCATCCATCAATAGATTTTGGCAGTGGTCAAAAGGAACTCCATTTGGCACCTGATCCTGACTCGTGCTCGATGCGACTACCCTTGTGGAGGTCGATCTAATTCGTTAATGTGTTTAATCAGCCTAACTAACTCTATTATCTATCGGAGATCCCACCAAACTCCAAGTAAAATTAACTTAGACAGTTACTACAAATCATAGTAGCAAACTCCTAACAGTTCTACGAGATTAATCACCATACATAACAACACTACAACTTTTTTTTTAAGACATAACAACACTATAACTGTTATTATACTATTCTCGATCGATATTTATTTAATTACGATCAATTCAAACAATGCTGAAGGGAATACTCATCAAGTTTATGCGATGTGAGACGGAATTATTTCCCATCACAATTAGGAAAATTCCTTTCCGAAATTTAGAACCTTAGTTTTGTATATAATAACAAAGATTGATTCTGCAGACCATGACTCATTAACGGTAATAACTACCTCCTCCCCTGCACCGGGAGAGAGAGGGATTAAGAGAGGGGGAAGAACTCAAACGAACAAAAAAAAAATTCAATTAAACCCTCCTCCGAATCAGAATTCTCAATACGATTTCCTGCTAAGCCAAAGAAACCCATTGCTCCTTCTCCTGATCTAGGACTACCCATTTTCTTGAATTCGTAGAATTAATTCTCTCGAAGGAGGAACGAGAAAAGGAAAAATGGAGGAACTGGAGTCAGGGGTTCTTGTGAAATTCCTGCAACGAATGAACGTCCATGGCAAAAAGCTGCTACGGGATCCAGATCCCGTCCTGTTACAGATCAGGAGCATCATCCCGGTGTTGAAAGACGGCGAAATTTACCCCAATCAGGGCTTCTTCCTCAAGATTTCAGATTTGACCCACGCCATGTTCGTCTCGCTGCCGCAAGAACAGGACGAAATGATCCTCTGCAACAAATTGCATCTAGGTCAGTTCATATACGTGGAGAGGTTAGAGGCCGCGTATCCTGTCCCGATGATCAAAGGCGTGAGGCCGATTCCAGGGAGACATCCTTGTGCTGGGCATCCCAAAGATCTCCTCCCCAGCGAGAACCTCGAGAAATTTCTTGGGGTTTCCAAGTTAGAATCCATCGGAGAATATTGCGGCGGCGGCGGCGGTGGGATCGAACAATCGGACAAGGGGAAAACCCTAACGGCTCCCAGGGTGAGTGTAAACGAGATGAGGGACAGAATCAAGACCCTGAGCTGGACGATTGAAGACAACGGCGTTGAGGCCGAGAAGCAGAAGAAGAAGGAGGCGTCGAGCAAGAAATCGCGGCCGGCGGGCAGTGCTCCAAAGGGGAACGAGGTGAAGAAGAGCAAGAGCCTCTTGAATTACAGGCCTAGAGGGATGGATGTGGAGAGCACTCTGAGTTTGAGAGGTAAGAAGAACGAGGAGATGTGGTTGCGGAAGAACAATCCTAACGTATCGAGGAATGCGGATAGGGATAGTGATTGCGAGAGTACATTGACGACGAGCACCGGAGCTGTGAGCAGGAAGAGCTGGAATAATGATGTTGAAGTTGTGAGAATGGTGGATACTGCTGATACTTGTGTGAGTCTACTTAGTTTTTGTTTGATCAAAAGCTTTTCCATTCCGCTTTACTTTAGTTCTGTTTGGTGGTTGAATGTGTGTGTGTGTTTGGTGTTTTGCTTGATTCTGGGGGACAGAATTCTTCAGTTCAATTGTCAATGAATGATAGCTCAGATGACAATTCGAGCTGCAAAACTATGAGGAGAGTTGTTAGTATGACTATGAACAGGCCATCGAAATATGTCAGCAAGAATTTTGTGTCGGCACCAAGGCGATTGAGTGAAGATTTCTCAAGTCAGAATGCGATTTTGAGTTCCACAGTTGATAAGCACACAGATGATAACAGGCCATCCTGGGATTATCTTCCTTCCACCTTGGTAAAAATCGGACAGGTACATAAATCAGTTTGCTTTAAACTAGATTTTCATTTCCTGATATATAACATACTCTCATCAGAGAGGAAAAGTTTGATTGTTCACTTAGGATCTTAAACTCTATGCAGGATGTGCTCATGCAGAGGGACCTAGCTCTTTCTACTGCAGTGGAGGCTTTACAAGAGGCTTCAGCTGCTGAGAGATTGCTCAAATGCCTGAGGTATGCACAAATCTTTCAATCACATGGCTCTTTCTATCTGTAAGTTAGGCACTTCAGTTTGCATTGGAGAAGAAACACAGCATGAGTCTCCTCCCTTCGTAATTAGGATTTCGTATTGAGTGAAGTTCTGATACAGGAGCCTTCTACAGTTTTTAGCACAAATGAATGAATGATCAAGTTGGATTTTTAATTTTATGCTTGTCTCCTTTATATGGACTGACTCACATTCTGTTATCCTTTTGCAGCATATATTCGGAACTTCAAGCTGCTGAGGTTGGTGACCAGCATCTAGCAATCGACAAGTTCTTCAGGCTTCAAGAGGATTTGACTCAGACGCAGCAGATCTTCCGGTCACTAACAAATGTCATCCCGCCGATAACACCACCACACGATGAACACAACCCTCATTTTGTGATGGAAGGACACAAGCTGGCATCAGACAGAAAGCAAAATGCAGCATCATGGATAAAAGAAGCTTTAGCATCCGATCTCACCCCAGTTTCAGCGCGCTTGGAGGCCATCAACAACGGCAACCAAGAAGCCAGAAAGTCTAACAAATCAAGCCACAAGAGTCACAAAGCCAAAGGCGGGATAGTGGTTATAAGGAAGCAAAAGAGTAGTAGTCCCAACATGGTGTTTGAGATGGCGCAACACGGGAGCAACCAACCAAGCTGGGTCAAGGGAAGTGCATTGCCAGTTTCCATGGAACTCGCCAGCTCGCTGAGCGAAGAATGCAGGACTTGGTTCTTCACCTACGTTGAGGACTATTTGGAATGGGTTAGCAGAAGGATCGTCTCTGCTGAGAGATCGGATGGGCAGGCAGCCGAAATGATGTACCAGATCAAGAGAGTGAATGAGTTCCTGGACAGAAGATGTCTTCAGGATGGATCCATGTTGAAAGATTACGAATCGGAAGCTTGCGGGAGGATTAGGAACAAGATTTGTGGGATTCTACTCAAACATGTGGAGAAAACTTCCCTGAACTCCATGCCTGAAGGTTGGCAGTAAAGTAAGTGAGATGGGTAATGGCCATATCCTTTTGTAGGAAGGGTTTCATAACCTGAAACATGTAACTGGAGAAATCCGTATATCATGTTTCCTTGTAGAAGATACTCTTTTGAACTCATACCAGAATTTTTCTCTTTTTTTCCATTCTAAGTCCGAAAAAGATCATCTACGGAATGAATCAGTCCTCCTTCCTCCAGTAAGCTCGTCAAAAGTTTCATTTCTCACAAATATTGAAATGTTTAGGTGCTTCATTGGTCATTTTTTAATTGCTTAAGTCTGGATCAATTTGGACTGGGCTTACACTTCTAGTTCATTGACTGATAGATCTGGGCTTAAAAACCGTTATGTCCTTTTCACGATAAATGTCACATTTGGTCACTGGAATTAGTAAATTGTGTCATGTTTAGTCACTAGATAAAATTAATATCAATTTTGGTCACCCAAATTACTGAAATAGGTCACATTTAGTCACTCTCCGTTAGTCTCCGTCACCGTCATTCTTCGTTAACACCGTCAATCAATTGCTTAAGTTTTTAACTGAAGTGATGACTCGCCCTTTTTTAACCCGCAATGTCACCAAACCCGACCCGCCACGTCACTCAAATGCAAAAAAAGGTTGGATTCAACAACAAAACAATCTAAAATGGCAGATTCGACAACATTGAATTGCAAATTCATCAACAAATGGACAGAGCTTTCCCACCAACCATTTGGATGGCGGCGTATGTTGCTCTGGTTGCAGAGGAGATGGACGGCAGGGCGGAGGCTAGTCTGCAGAGGAGATTAGCAAGGCGGAACTCTCGGTCAGCATCGATGATTCACGAGCGAGGAGAAGATGCAGGGACCGAGACTCTCAGTTAGCAGCGGGGATTCCGACTGAACGCAACGACTAAGGAGAAAAGACAGCGAAGTGGGTAGATTCCGATCGTCCTCGATGACCAAATGTGGCATTAACCTATGTTCAAGTAAAACAAAAAATTTGTTCCATTTTCATAGAGAAAGGATTTCTATCACTCGAATTCTTCATCGATTTGCTCGATTAGGGTTTGGTCACAAGAAAGGGAGATTTCTGAAAAAGAAGCCGATCGATCTCGCGCTCGACCCCGATCCAACATCTTGAACCAGTAATACCCCGAGGCCCCGAGCAGCAAGTGGTGGTTTGCAACAACTTGTACTATATTGTCACCCGAAGCTTATTGGACACCCCTCCCCGCCTCCCGAGCGGCACATGGAAGCTGGAGTATATTGACGCGGCGGTGTTTATGGCACAAATTTGGGATATGAGGTTGTTTTCAACGTGGGAAATGTTTCCTAATTTTGTCTCCTGTGAGGATTTGTTTCCTGGGTTTCGGAGTATATCATAGTTGAAGATGTGTAAGTGTATCTGAGGTGGGTTTGCATTGCGATGCAATTCGTTAGTTGGAGCAGCTTGTGTATAATCCTATGACGTTTCGGTTACCGAAATAGTGGCGGATCCATAAATTTTACCTAGTGGTGTTGTAATCCAATATTTATATTAAGAACAATTAGTTTTTAATGTCAGAATGTTGGGAAATTGATAATTTAGTTTTTAATGTCCTGAGAAAGAAAATTTGAGAAATTTGGATTTATAGTTGGACTTTTGTTTTAGCTTATAGTTACATTTATGTTTTTACGGACTAACAAATTATTTGTAGTATAATGAATAACATTTTTTTTTCTTAATTGTAGTGTCCCCGAGTGTGAACCACATATACTATTATTTATTATCTTTTCTTTTTTCTAAATTCAAACTAATTTTCTCCCAAAATTTTAGGGGTGTCACGAGAAATCCTTAAAAAGGACTTCCAATCACGAAATGGAATGAAGTGGAGCCATATCAGTGCACTATGCAACTGGAGGTGGTGGTAGGAGTATACATGGGTTGGTGTGGTTTCGAGTCTAATCATTTTAATCATTTGGTCCATATACTTTACTTTTAAAATAAATACTAAATTCAAGACCACCCAAAAACTTAAAACCTTAAGGTTTGTGTTTTTAGGCTGTGTCAGGTGGGCGATACTACCCAATACTAAAAAAAATTATAAATAATTAAATTTTCAAGCAAATGAACCAAAGAAAAAACATCAAAATGCATAGAAGTTGTTGCTTGGACCTTGACGAAGAGCAATTTGTTTCAACATATGTCTACTATTTTTCATCAACATTTACCAAAATAAAACTAAATACATTATTCATTATAAACCGATGCATCGATAATATGTTAATCTTCTAAATTTTTATATAAAAAAATAATGATATTTTCCATAAAATAACATGGCGAGAGTAGGATATGTGATTAGACAGGACTCCAATTTTGTAAAAAAAAAATAATTTGATTAGTTAAGTGTGGTTAGGAATGTACGACAAATGAGAATCAGGTGTTACATAAATAGTAAATTTTACAAGTATTGTGAAACCATATCGAAACAGTCGGCGACATGATATTTTATAATAAAATCATGGTTTAATTATGGTTCAACTTATTCATACCGTTAGCCCCCACCTTTCATTTTCGTACCGATACTCTGTATTTCCGGTTGAACCGGACGGTACAGTTTCTAAAACATCGAATTATTTTAAGAGATTTAACATTAATTTTGTTCACAATAATCAAAACTAATTCTTATAAGGAAAAAAAGTCAAAACAATATCCCTACCTACCAAATTGAAACACCTCATTAACAGCCACCTGGAAAGCGTAAACCACCCGTTTCCTCATATTTTTCATTTCTCATTATCGATGAAATGTTGTTTTGTTTCTTTTATAGAATGTGGATGAAAATTTTTTTATCAAGGAAAAGAACAGTTTCGGAGTGGTTAAGAAAATGTGATCACTTCCCACAATTCCCATCAGTTGGATTCTCAGACGTTGATGTTCCTTACTCTCTTTTGCCTTGTCAAAAGGCTAAAACACACACAATTCTTTCCTTCCGATCCAACAGAGAGAAATACAAGGGCGAAAGAAAGAGAGAGAGAGAGAGAGAGAGAGCAAAGGCGGAAAATAGGCGATAGAACTTCATTCCAGACGCATTCCATTTGTAACACTTTTTCTCAAACACCTTGCGGACAAAATTTTCCAAGCTCCTTCTTCCTCCTCCTCCTCCTCCCCTCCTTTGCATCTTAGATTTTGTTTCCCCATTTTGCACTAGAGACAAAAAGGGTTTCCACTCCCCCAGAGCATTATTCATTCATTCGCTCCCCCTTCCTGGAAATTCCATTTTTAATTTATGCTTGGAAAAATTCGATCTTTCCCCGTTTAGCTCAATCTCTTGATCTTAGCAAGCAAAACCCGGAGGAGAAAAAGCTTGTCGATTCTCGGGTTGTTTTACTGTGGGGGAAGGAAAAATGATGCAGATGCGAAGACCGCCACGGGTTTCGATGAGTCGCTGCTTAGGGGTTTTCTTATTTATTGGGTGCTTTCTGGTGCCGGCTTCTCTGGCGAGATTCATCGTCGAGAAGAACAGCCTGAGAGTGACATCGCCGGAGAAGATAAAGGGCACCTATGACACTGCGATAGGCAATTTCGGGATACCTAAATATGGGGGTAGCATGGCGGGTGTTGTGGTGTACCCAAAGGACAACAAGAACGGCTGCAGGGAATTTGCGGACTTTGGGATTTCTTTCAAGTCCAAGGCTGGAGCCTTGCCCACTTTCGTTTTGGTGGATCGTGGAGGTAAACCCCCCCCAATTTCTGTTCTGATTGCATGCTTGTCATCAAATATTTTGAGTTAGGTAAACGGTGTAATTGGTTCGAAATTTGCCCTTTTCATTTTAGGGTTAATTTTAGAAATGGGCTCATTGTATTTGGAGCTTTATCCTTGTCCGTTGTTTCTTATGTTGCGTTTTGTTTTTTGTTGAATGCGCTAAATTTTCAGCTCATATCATCTGTTTTTGATACACACGGTCTCCCTTTCTTCTTTAGCTCTTTGTTCTTGGGCTTGATTGGTCTGTCTTCTAGGTGCTGCTATACAGCTGCGCTTAAGTTCTTGCTGATATTGACGAGCTACAGAGCTTGAGCTTATTTTGGTTGTTTCGAGTCGCTTACAACAGCACATGTTTACGATTGATTTGGGTGCATGTTGGAGTATAAACTTGGTCAGCTTTCTCATGGTTATTGAGATGCAGTCCAAGGCTGTTTGGTATTGTCTCGATAATATCTAGGTTCAGTTGTAAGCACTAAACAGTGTGCCTTATCTATGTGGCTAAGTTGGTAAGACATGCTAAACCAAGCATTTTGATTCCCTTTCCGAGTACCCATGTGTCCTGCTTCTTAAGGATTGTGTTTCAATCAATCTACTTGGTTTGCGTCAGTTATGCATTTCTTGTTTGCCAAGTGTATAAGTTCCTTCGAATATCCTCTTAGGCCCTCATGGAGGCACTAATTTTATGCATGTAGTCAAATATAGATTGGGGATGTGCGCTCCAATCATACATACTTTTATCCAAACCCAAACCCATGGACGCAGAAATGTGTCGTGAGCTTTCAATGCTTCTGGGAAATGAGTGTTCATCTGGAGATCCCTGAATGTCAAGTGTAAACCATTAAATCCCCTGCTGAATCCATGGGCAGGCATTTCAGTCATCTCGAGTTGTGCTTATCTTGCCTAGATATCTTGTTTCTTGGACATTTGTTATATAAGTTTCCTTATTATGTATATAGATGTCAGAGATAATACTGAAACGGTTGCAAATGGTTAGACTCTGCTACTCTGGTAGCGAAACAGTTACTGATGGATTATTTGATCTAGCTGCGTTTATGGTCTACACAATCTGCTATGCTTATAGTCTTTTGCCTTTTCACTTACCTGGTTGTCAATATAAAGTGAATCTCAAATACTGAAGATGCAGCACTTATCATTGATTGATATGATTGGTTATGGATATATTACCAGGTCTGCTTAACTTTTGTGAGAATAGAAGCTTCAGATATCTTTATGCTATATTTGGCATCTGCGCGTGATGTAGTTTTGGTACTTACTATTAGGGGTGTACATGGGTCGGTTGGTTCGGGTTTAAGTATTTTAATCACCCGACCCATGCACTACGGTTTGGGAATTATCAAACCCAAACCCACCCAAAAAATTTTAAACCCTACGGTTTGTTTCTAATTGGGTTGGGTCGGGTTGACGATATTTTTAAGTAAAAACCCAACCCAACATAAAATATATAATTATTATACACCATAAAAATATTTTATAACTAATTAAAATTTCAAACAAATAAACCGAGGTGAAAGGTATCAAAATTTACAAATGTTGTTTGAGTTTTAATAAAATGTGATTTACTTCAACAAATGTCTAGTTTTTTTCACGATATTTGTTGAAATAGGCTAAAAAGGTTATAAACAAATGCATCCATAATATGTTATTCTATTAAAATTGTATACAAGAAAAATGATTATGTGAATCATAATTATATTCAATTTATGTCTAAACTTTAAGTCGAAGAATGCATTAGATTAGGGAGACCATGATAGAAAAACATGGCGAAATATCTTAATTTTCACATTAGTATGGCTATATACGACATAAATATTTTTTAGATACGAACTCATACTAATAGTTGGAACACGGGTTGGGTCGGGTTCTACGGGTTGTGCAATCCAAAATCCAAACCCAACCCTAAAGAGGCGGGTTGCACAAAAGAAAACCGTCACCCAACCCAAAACCTTCGTTTTAGCGATAAATACGGGTGGGTTGGGTCGGGTTGGACGGGTGGGTCGGTTTGCGGGTGTGTTTGTTCACCCCTACTTACTATCCTGTTTGTTAATGCTCGAGTGCCTGGTATTTCATATTTTAATCATCGACTTTTTACAAGCCACAGACGCGTTCCTTTGCCGGAGTGGTTGATTAAGATACCTTTCTATCCACTTGTTTGGTTTGATCAAGTGATTACCCTTGGATACAAAATTGTTGGTCTGTTTTGGACTGCATTTTGTATTATTTACCCAGCTTGTAATTGTTAACATATAGTTCATTTTCTACCCGGTTAAACTATCGTTTCATGTTGTTATTGGTATTGTATTGAAATTAAGGCTTTTTACCAGTTTATGTTTCTCAGAGTAGAGTTGCATTTTATGTTCCATTGACCTTTTGTTTTTAGTTGTCCGAAATAATGATGAATGTTGCTCATTGTTTTTTTCAGATTGCTTCTTTGCGCTTAAGGTTTGGAATGTTCAGAAAGCAGGGGCTTCGGCTGTCTTGGTTGCTGATGACATTGATGAAGCATTGATAACCATGGACACACCTCAAGAAGATGGTTCATCGGCAAAATATGTTGAGAACATAACAATACCTTCTGCTCTTATTGAGAAAAGCTTCAGCGACATACTGAAGAAATCACTGAGCAATGGTGATATGGTGAATGTAAATCTTGATTGGAGAGAAGCTGTTCCTCATCCTGATGATCGAGTGGAATACGAGTTGTGGACCAACAGTAATGACGAATGTGGTGTCAAATGTGATATGTTGATGGAGTTTGTGAAGGATTTCAAGGGTCCAGCTCAGATACTTGAGAGAGGCGGGTACACTCAGTTCACTCCTCATTACATAACGTGGTACTGCCCACAGGCATTTACGTTGAGCAGACAGTGCAAGTCACAATGTATAAATCATGGGAGATATTGTGCTCCTGATCCTGAACAGGATTTCAGTATTGGCTATGAAGGGAAAGATGTCGTTCTCGAGAACTTAAGGCAACTGTGTGTTTATAAAGTAGCAAATGAGACTCATAGACCCTGGACATGGTGGGACTATGTAACCGATTTCCAGATCAGATGTCCAATGAAAGAGAAGAAGTACAACAAGGAGTGTTCTGATAGTGTTATTAGATCTCTTGGTATACTCATATTTCCTCTCTCATGTATGCCTCTGATTAGAAATCATTATGTTGGAGAAAGTGAATGACTTCATATGTTGTTTACTGTATCTGTTCCAACTTTGCAGGACTTGATATGAAAAAGATTGAGAAGTGTATGGGAGATCCAGATGCTGATTCTGATAATCCTGTTTTGAAAGAAGAGCAAGATGCCCAGGTATCTTTTTAATGTCTGCTTACAGGACTGGTTTGATGAAAATTGTGATGTTGGAATATCTCATGCCCAATTATTAGTGAAACATGTCTAGTTAACTGACAAAGTGTTTATTGTAGGTTGGCAAAGGAACTAGGGGTGATGTAACTATACTGCCTACTCTTGTTGTCAACAATCGACAATATCGAGGTCTGATACTGATTTGCTTCTGTTCATTTAATGAATTTGCTTTCTCTGCTGTCATTGTTTTCCTTATAATTTCCCAAAGCTTCTTTGCTTCATAATTTACAGGAAAGCTGGCGAAAGGTGCTGTTCTGAAAGCCATATGTTCTGGTTTTGAGGAAACAACTGAACCAGCTGTTTGCTTGACTGGCGGTAAGTTTCTTAGGTTGTGGGTAGCGAATTAACTGTTAGTTTGAGGCTGCTCATTGGTAAAAGTTGGTAAATACCTGAGATTTGCGTGCCCCGGGATTGAGTGCTAGGAGTGGAGATTCACCTTGAATACATAGGTTATGCTATTGTGGTGCTCCATTACAGCTTAATTATTTTACTAGGAGATTATTGCCAACTATGCTATGAAAGGTTCTCTAGTATCAATGAGAATCTGAGCATGACAGCTTTACATAGGTTATGCTAATGTGGTGCTCCATTACAGCTTAATTATTTTACTAGGAGATTATTTGCCGACTATACTAGGGAAGGTTCCCTAGTATCGATGTGAGAATCTGAGCATCACAGCTTTTCTGATGCAGATGTTGAGTCAAATGAATGCTTAGAGAATAATGGTGGTTGCTGGAAAGATAATGTTGCAAACATCACTGCTTGCAAGGTATGTAAAGATGGCTGTACTTCTGTTGGTATTAGGATTTGTAGTACTGATGCGCTTCCGTTTCTCACATTCTACATTTTAGGATACATTTCGTGGGAGGGTATGTGAATGCCCCCTTGTTGACGGTGTGCAGTTTAAAGGAGATGGATACAGTCACTGTGAAGGTATTTCTTACTCCTGATATTTTTATTGGCATTGTTTATTATCTGCTATAATCATTATTCTGTAATTTTGAAGACTGTAGATCTATGCTGGTTCACTTAATTGGCTATAATTCTCTTGTGCATGTGTGTCGAGTTTTAGTGGAACTTTGGAAGCATCAGTGGCCCTTGTGATGTAATCATATTCATAACTCTGTTGCACCTAAAACCCAAGGGGTTGGCTTAGTGGTATTGTTGGTATGATAACATCCACCACACCATAGGTTGAAACCATGGGGCTAACAATAACCTTATTAAATAAAAACTCTGTTGCACCTAAAACTAGGTCCTGCCAACATATACCCCCATTACCATGACTGGTTAAATCAATAGCTTTGACCATCTGGTTCTGTGTTGTATGTGCTTAGGCTTGGAAGGAACTCTTTCTTTCCCTGTTAGATGGTTGGTCTCTGTTGTTAAGTCACATATTTTTTGAAGGGTTTGTACATTTACTTCCGTACTTTGTTTCAGTGAGTGGACCGGGAAGGTGCAAGATAAACAATGGTGGATGTTGGCATGAATCTCGAGAAGGACATGCATTCTCTGCCTGTTTGGTTGGTATCATGTTTTAAAATATCACGTTCTGTCCTGATTTGTCTTCTTCAGATATTTAACAGTGATTGTTATCAGGATGTTGATGGGGGTAAATGTCAGTGTCCTTCTGGATTTAAGGGCGATGGCAAAAATAGTTGTGAAGGTAAGATATTCTTGCATTCTGGTTTTGAAATTCTGTAGGAAAGCATGTGAATGTGGCGGCTACATCGGTTTCTTTAGATTCTTGCCTCAATGGGCTATGGTATCTCTCAGCATCAAGGCTTGGTTGGTAGCCCAGCAGCTGAACTTGCATTCCTCAGTGTGGTATTTTCATTAATGTGCGTCACCTGTTTTCGCAGATATTGATGAATGTAAGGAAAAGAAAGCATGTCAGTGTGCTGAATGCAGCTGTAAGAATACTTGGGGAAGTTACGACTGCAGTTGCAGTGGAGGTCTGCTTTATATTAGAGACCATGATACCTGTATAGGTGAGTTTGTTTGCAGCAAAACTAGAAACTCAAACCGCTATGAAACGTCCATTTTGTGGGCAGCTTATTCTCTCTATCCTTGATGAGCTTACTGCAGGTAAGGCAGCGGCTAGTAATGAAGTGAGATCTGCATGGGCTGCTGTTTGGGTAATCTTTATTGGCTTGGGAATGGCTGCTGGTGGTGGATATCTCATCTACAAGTACCGATTGAGGGTAAACATGATGCATTAATTATGAGTTCCTCTGAGTTCTGATTTGCCTGGTAAATTAACAAATCCTAACTTGGTGCTATGTTTCTTGTTTTTGCAGTCGTACATGGATTCGGAGATCAGGGCGATAATGGCACAGTACATGCCTCTTGAGAGTCAAGCAGAAGTGCCGAATCACCTCGGTGACCAACACGCTTGAAGAGTGTTGCAGAGGCGATCGAGGTGAATCCATGGCGTCTAATAGATTACTCAGGGAAACTATTTGAGACCAACCAACCAGGGGGCAATGTGTGGTTTTATACGCTGAGAGCCCTTGTATGTTCATCAGTCAACTCAAGGAACGAATATTGGGTGTCTGTAATGTTGACAAATAAAGGGAATGGTGATGTCACAAAGTTGTTGCTGTTGTTTGTTAGTAGTAGTAGTAACTAGTAAGTAGTAGACATGTAACAACGTTTGCTATTAGGGGGATTGGGAGAGACTAACTCGGATTTTGTTTTTGTTTATTTCCCCTTTGACGAGTTTTTTTTTTTTACCTTTCTGCCGTCTCCATAACCCAGTCAGTCTGCATTTTATCATATGGTGATATTACTGTAATCCACTTTCCTTACCTTTCGTGTAGAGCAGAAGAGCTGATAGCAATACTATTATGAAATAAGCTGACTACATATTACTCAAACCTGCATCTGATTCAAGCGGAAGTCCATGGTCTCCTGAATTCTACCTTGTTAGCAGCGCAAGGACTTGATTCCTAACTTACAGTAGTTACACAGATTGTAATTATAATTTGGCTTCTGGTTTCGAATGGAATACAAGGCACTGCTTATTATAAATAAAAAAAAGGGTAAACAAATGTGGATCTGCATAACCACTATAAATCAATCTAAGCAGATGGTGTAAATTAAAAAAAAAAAAAGGAATAAATGAATCAAAGCCGAATGGATTGGAACTTCCTCTCTCGTTCGAAATTACAATTTGGACAAAATGGAACTCTCTCTACTCTTTGTCGCCAAGTCCTTACTGCTGCACAAACCAAGCATCCATGGAGTTGTTTCTCTAAAACTACGAACATCTTGATACTCCAATGTCCATCCCATTGTAAGCAATCGGTGAATACATCCAGTGATCATCAGAGCTCAACAACTGCACCACAACACAAAAACAGAAACAGATAAATTATCAATTACCCATTTGTCAAAAGAAACACAGCATTATGTTATGTTAATGTACATATTTCCCCACCTTGATTTGGAGCTGCAAGAACTTGACATATTGGACAGCTTCTTCAAGCATGGTGCTGATATCCACCTTTGTACCATTGGGGACAAGGGTCTGCAGAACCTTCAGCCTCTCGTTGATTCTTTCTCGACGTTTCTGTAAATCAAAAGGGGGAAGAAGAAAAAAAAGTGTTTAGATCAAAGCCAGGAAAGTGATCAACAAAAAGAATCTACCAGATTCGTTGCAGCTAGATTAGATTTTCCCTTACTTACCCTGGCATAGAGGCTCTGTGGATCAGTGGCTGCACCCCTGCTGGCTCTTGTCTTGCCATTCAAGCTCACATTAATGGAACCAGTACTAGCAGATGTTGTTGGCACAACTTCTCCTCCTTCATCATCAATCTTCTCATCCGCTGCTGATCCATCAAACAAGGACTCGTCAGAATTGCTCGTCGTTGTAGCTGCAGCACTCTTCACATTATTGTTCTGCTTCTTCCCCCTTTTCTTTGAGCTCACATTCTTCTTGGCTTTCTTGGGCTGCAAGTCGAGTTCGCGGATTTGGTCAGAAAAAAATGAGTGCATACAATGCAACCAGCATCGCTTAATCGAAAAATTGTGTACAAGTTTAAAACAACTTACCTCTCCTCCAGTGGCCCTTGATCTCTTCTTTGTCCCCTTGCTAGGTTTCTCTTCAGGGTGCCCTGCATCTAATATGTCAGGCTTCTGCTGATGCTTCTGTTGTTCATTGTTCGCAATGTTCGGTATAAAGGTCTCGTCGGATTGTGCCAAGTAAGAGGTGGTACTCATAGGAATGGGGTTGCCTTCGTTGCAAGCAAGAGGAGGCAGAGAAGAAGAATCAAGCAGCTGATGGAGAGCCATGGATGTGTCTTGACTGGAAGTTCCTGTGGAGTAAAAACCATGACTGCTGCTGCTGCTGCCACTGCCTTGTGATGTTGCTGATGATGAAAGATGCTGACTTGAAGTATTCCCAGCTGCTGCTGCTGCTGCTGCTGACATGTCGAATGGTGCAGATGATGTGGAGAAGAAGTCAGAATCTAGACCGATGGAAAGCAATTGTGCCATGAAATCAGCTTCATCATGATCATTTGTGTACATCATTCCACTCATTAGAGAGCTCCAATCCATACAAGCCAAGGATTCAACTTGCTCCATGCCTCACTGAGATATAATTCGGTTTTTGTAAATGCTTCTTTTTGTGTCCTCACTTAATTTCTCTCTGTGTTTCTGAAAGAAAGATGAAGCAAAAAGAGGCCCTATTTATACATGTCTGCCATTGAAGGTTGCATGGCAAAGAGCTAGAAGACAAAGCTAAGAAGGAAATCAAAGGAATGTCTTCAATCAAGAGGCTCAAGAGGGGTGGAAATATTCCAGTTGACAAATATATCCCATTAATTAATCAAACAGTTGTTCACATTCAACAATTAACGTGCCTACAAATAAACACATAAAAATGAAACTAGAAGAGCAATTTAAATGGGGCCATGTACAGCTCATTTTTATAAAGTTTTATTTTTTTGTCCCTATTTGTTGGACGGGAGTCTCCTAAAATATTTGGCCATGTGGTTGTGCTGCAAATATATAGTATAAATGAAATGGTCTTCTTTAATTAGTATCAACTATCAAGTGCTTCAAATTGTGCCCCTAAAAAAGTGCTTCAAAATGTTTGTAACTACTTTACTTTGGGACTGGCTGCAGAACTACGGAAAAGACACTCAACAAAGATTGATATATCTATCGTACCGTACAGTACCGTACCGGTGGTTCGACCAGAAAATACCGTATTGTATCGACGGTATTAAGCGGTTGAACCACGATTTTAGCATAAAATACCCTACTGCAGACTTTTCCGATACAACCTTCGGTATGGTATTTCAATCCTTGCACTCAACTAACACTGGGAGATAGGGATGGCAATGGGTCGGGTTGGGGCGGGTTTTGTCAAACCCAGACCCAAACCCATGGGTTTATCCGCCAAAAAAACCCGGGGTAAAACCCGCTGGGTTTGAAAAACTCAAACCCAACCCAACCCGCTGGGTATCCACGGGTTCATGGGTACCCGTGGGTTTTTGTTGTAAAAAATTTACAATAACAAGTTTCTTTCAAAATAAAAGTTTAACATCAATTTTCTCATACAAATTATTCATACAAAAAACACCAATCTAGAGCATACAAGCAAACCGCAAATGATCAATACAAATTGTTCAAAATTAAAGATAAACATCTATAAACAATAAGATTAATTGAAAGCTTCTTCCTCGTCAACTAAGTTTCTTCACTCTCCACTTCATAATATCAACTTCATTCTAAACAATTAGAAAGAACAAATTATACATGTCTCCACAAACATAAAGAATATTAGTTGTTTAAGGAAGATATATTATTTAGAATATTAAATATACGGGGAAAGTAATTATATGTGTGTGAGCGGGTATCCATGGGGCGGGTTTACCTAAACCCAAACCCAACTCGACCCGGTGAATAGTGTAGCGGGTTTAAACCCAAATCCGGCCCAAAACCCGTCAACACGGGTTTTACCCGCATTGATCGGGTTGGGTCGGGTGGGTACCCGTGGGTTCGGGTTTTGTTGCCATGGGAGAGGAAGAGAAGTATGATGTGTTGGGTACCGGTGATCAAGCAAAGGGACAACTATAGGGGTTAAATCTTAAATGATAGGTTTGTCCATGGTAATTTGTAAGTCATTGTGATTTGTCGAAAATGGTCTATTTCTTTCACTCGTGGACAACCAAATTTCTGTAGAGATTATTGGTCCAGACAAAAAAAAACACCCTCTTATAACACTCCTAGACTAAAAACCCATAAAATCACGATGATATGAGATTTTTGGGAATTGAATATGACACAATTATATAGCAATTAGATTATACTTTTTAAGTATCTTCATAACAACAATATCATCAAAGTTGATATATCACAAGACAAACTATAAGATAAAAACAAGAAAACTTAGAATTTAAAGGAAAGATGAAAATCTCTGTAGGGTAAGTCAAATCTAAGAAATATATATGCAGAACATTTCTCAAATCTACGTGACAACAATAACCCAATAAACTTCTCATCCATGCTCCACCCTTTGTACTAATTTTAACCCTAATACTAGCAAACATATCTTTTTAATTGTTTTTTTAAATATCTATTAAAATTGTAATCTTCTAATTATATATGATGATGTCATTACTCATTAACAATGATTCATCAGGTCGATCGATTGCTGAAAGAGGTAAATCGCTTGATAAAAGTGGTAGACCGTTTAGTGAAAGCGCCAGACCGATAAACTTATCCCAACTTCGCAAAGAACCAAAACAAACTGAATCCAGAAAAAAAAATATTCTTATCGCCTCTCATAATTTATGCTCCTCTCCAACCACCAGCTTCCTCCTCTCCTCCTCCACTAGTGGGACCTCAGTTGCCTTCTCCTCACTGCAACATCAGCACGCCAATCGCACCCTCTACGCACTTAATGTAAGCTTCTGCGTTGAATATTCTAATTTTGTTAACCAATTGTGGACCTAAAAAGCTTGTGGCGATGCAAGGAATACGAGGAGAGTGATTCAGAACCCTAGGTATAGTCCTCACACGTGAGGAGGAGCGAACGACATCAGATCGTCGAAGAAGAAGCGGCACAAAGATATGTGAAACCCGACCCAATTCGACCCATTACTATTCGTACTCTCCAATACTATTAAGAATCAATTCGCCCTTGTGATTTGATTTGTTGGGGTTAGAAAATCTAAAAATAGATTTTTTTTAAATGTATGGTAATAGATTTTGTAAATATAAAGTGGATGTAAGGTAATATAATGATAGATTGTGATGTTTAGATTTCATATTTTTTAAAATGAGTAAGGTGAATTATTTTAAAGACAAAGATCCGGGAACGAGACAGAAATTGGGGTTTGCTGGGTTTTCTCTTCTTATTTGCTCTTGTACAGTTTTGTTGTTTTTTCTCTTCTTTTTGTTCTAAACCATTATAAAAAAAGACAGACGTGGGGTGGTGCTATATTAGCTAGCACAGGGTTGCTATTTGCATTAAACAACGTTGTTTTCTCTAATGGGAAACGCCATTAACAAATTCTACGGAACAGGAATAGAAGTTGACGAGCACATATATCCTTCCTGCTATGTTTCCTCAGTTCATGTCTTTTTGTCTCTCATGTCTGTTTTTGTCTTTTTCTATCAAAATCAAAGACAAAAGTATAATGGAGATGATTTCCGAAATATTGTATATTCCAAAAGTATAGCAGTCCGACCCATAACTCACGAGGAGTATATTTCATCTTGGAATTAATCTAGTCGTATGGTCTCGTCGAATCTACGATAATCGTCAATAATTCATCAATCACATATGCTTGATCTCTTCAAAAATGTATGAGCAATGATAAAAACAACATTCTACTAATCGACAATACCCCAGGTTAACACAAAATTCCATTCTAATGTGTGATTTAATTCTTAATTAATTTTCATATGAAGTAGTATAGAGGCTTTGAAATTTCGGCCGGCCGGGCCATGGCACGATCTCTGGATTGAGGGAATAGTAGCTGCTCCCTTCTGAAGCCATATTATGATGAAAAGGATTAACTAACATGGGATAGGACAAAATAATATCTTCGGTCATGAATCGTTGAAAGAGAATTGTCGATGGAACTTTTAATTTCTGTAATCCGATTCTGTTCTGATTATTTAGCTGCTGATCATGTTTACATGGCTAATACTACATTTTAAGTCAGGGTTTGAAGTGCTAGACAGCCAATTAACATTGAATAATGCATAGTTTTAAAGCTTTAATTAGTTTCGCCGGCCGCACGCCCTGTCATATGGTTATATGATTATGGACGAATTATGTGTCATCAAAGCTGGCAACTGTTCCTACTTGGTATTCTTTTTGTATGATCATATGAATCAGGGATCTCAATTCTTTATCGTGTTGCCCAGTTAGCAGCAAAGCAAGAGAGTGATTTATTACGGGTATAGATGTACTGTCGTTAAGTTAAATATATATATATGGTGGCTTTTATCGTACCTTGGATAAAATCTAGGGTATAGCATACTCCGAGTATTGGGAATCAAAGGAGTTGAAGATGGAATTATGTTTACTTGTTTAGTGTCTCAAGTTGTCCTTATTCTCTTGATTTTCTACTCTATTGGGCTAAAATAGTATCATATTGGATGCACCACAATTTTTTTTTTTTACATTGCCTAATTATGAGAAACCTTTTTCACGAATTGTGCTCAGCGGCGGTAGATCCAGAACATAGTATTGATAAATTCGTTAGAACATTAGATACCATAAAAAAATATTCATAGTTTTTTTACAATCAATTGTACACGTCAATCTTTTAATATAGCGAATTTATCAATAATGGAGTATACATCCATACCAATAGCATATTACTCTCTTTCAAATAAAATAGTTAACCAATCTGCGAGAAATTCATCGCTCATTTTGTTGTGCAAATCATTTTTCACCTTTTCATTGTTGAAAAGATTCTCTCCATAGTAACTGTTCAAATGGACAATGTCAACATTAGACAATTCAATCGACTAATCAATTTGTATTCTGTGTCCATCCCTATTTTCACCAGTTGCTCTAGTAATTTTTCAAGGGAACCAACCTCATATTTCTTGTCTTTTACGTTTTAGACTTTTAGGTTTCATCATTTGTTTTTCTTTAGACGAGGGTCATTGGAGCTAGAATTTCTAGGCTAAATTTAGAGTTGTGATTTGAATATGTTCATCTGACTCAGTTTCCTAATTATACACAATCTTATTATAAAATAACATTGGGCCGAATGACTAAAATCGGTAAACTCACAGGGACTATACTAACTTCGGATCCAGAGGAGGGCTGGGTCGTGGCCTGGGGTGGCCACCCCCTAGATCCGCCACTTATTCGTACTTAAATAGTAAAGATTCTCACTAAATTATGTTATGTTTAAGAAAATCAATTCAGAATAGCAACTCAAATTCGAATTGAGATGATTTACCAGAAAATAAACCTACTTTTTCCACGAAATGGCATAATCCAACCTACTTGTACCGTATCATCAGTTGAGCATATTGTGCAATCACATAGTGTAAGCAACTCAGTAAGATCTTTTTAAATGTTGTGGTCATGTGGATGTTAGTTTGTCTCATTTTAATGCAGGTTCTTTTATCTCTCTATAACCAATAGAAATCCAGATCTCTCTCGGAAAGACAATTTAACTAACTTGACTATTGGGGAGGGTTAAAACTTAATAGACTCTGCTTCCACCTTTCTTTTACTGAAGAACTTGAGCACAATCTTACAAGACTTCATGAATACATTTTACTACTTAAACTCCAACCTTTACTTTCTTTGGCTAAAATAATCTCATACTAAATTAAGGACTAGGACTCCATAATCGGAGACTTCCGTGTTACAATTACGATATCCTGATAGAATAAGAGCCTAAACCAGGTATGAAAACTTTTAGAGATGTGTTGATGATTATGATCATCAATAAACCTATTCATAAATCATATCAATTGGTAGGAAACTCCCATTATATCGATTATGTGATGGATAAAAGGATTCAGTTAAGTTATATGCATCCTAATACAAATCTGCATTGAGCGTAACTTATGAGAAAAAAGAAACTTACATATTCCGACCAACAGGCTGGGTTCAAGCTAGTTGAGAGAAAACTGAAGCTCTCCAATCCTTGACCTAATCCGATCACCCAATTCAACTCTAAACAGACCCGAAAAATCGAAACAGGGAAAAATGACAAGAAAACAGAGGGGCTGAAGTTGCCTTAAACGGAGAAAACTGGGCAGAAAGCTGAAGATTATCCGCCGATGAGAGTAATTTGCTACTGAGCTTTTTACCACTTACAATCGCCTCCTTTATCTCCCACAGTTCATCCGTATCACCCATACACAAGCAGCAAACATTGGAGGAGACATGCGTAAAGGAAGGAACGAAAAAGAAGGCGCCGTTCTAATTGGCTAGGTGTATAGCAATACAGCTGACCGTCGTTGAAGTTCATCAAACCTTTGGAAAAAGGCTTACTGCTGCTCGTCACCTGGCTCGTCCCCAAAACCCCGTTGTGCGAGTCTGTAGTACAGTATTCCCATGGTCGCCATGCATGCCCTGCAGGTTATTATAACATACTTCTTGTTTAGTTCATGTCATTATACCTTCATAGCACCAGTCGAAGAAAAGAAAAAGAACGGCTAGCTAATCTACAATTTTTAGCATCCTGTTGTAGCTGGTCGAAACTCAACCTTGCCTCTACCATGACAAAACTCTAGAGACTTGCTATCTGGAACGAATGTCAGTACGAAAATCAGAAGGGCAAATTTAGACTTTACATGATTGCTATGAAGAGAAGTATCTTTCTGGGATCCATCCTTGATGATCTCTGGTGCCTTGTGCGTACATCAGGGGTATCGTCAGCATTTGTAGCATCTTTACGAGGAGGGGCAGTCACTGGTAAAGTTGGCAATGCACTTGACCAGAAAGGGAGCAATGCTCTGAGGAACTTATGTTGGATTGGACCTGCAACATGTAACAGCTGAAGTTTATATCTAAAAAATACATCACCCGATGAAATATGCACCAATTGGTCCCAATTGAACAAGCAGCAATTCATTCCCACAAGATCTCTGACCATCAGCCCTATTAAGATCTGTTGGCCACTGTTTGCTTCCTGGATTCATTGCATTAATGAAATCGTAACACACATAAGAAATGCTTCTGCCAGGTCAAACACTATTACTGTGTTACCCAAAGAGCGCTGTTTCTGTGACTTTAGACTTTGATTAGCCTAGTGAAAATATTGATATAAAGCAAAAGGAATAAAAGAAGGCACACGTTTTGTTGACATATAGGAATTGGAAGGAATTCACTCTGAGTATAGTCAATGTAATTGCATAGACAGGTAACTACTCACCCCTTCGAGAGTACTTTTTTCGGTTCCCGTCTTCATCATCTGCATAGTATGAAATTTCTGAATTTTGCCTCTCGTAATGGATACCGCCTTTTCTAGTAGTTGCAACAGGCTAGATTCCAGAAAAAAACAAAATTGAAAGATGAGAAAGCTTTGTATTAAACTCTAACTGTACACTTAATACAGCAGAAGTTATTACTGCAAGATATAAGATAAAAGCTCTTACAGCAGCCGGACTAGAATTGTTCAAATAATTTGCCCCAGAACTGGAACTATCAATCTCCACAATGTCTGGTATTGAAATCTTAGATGGCATCATTCCGGCGACACTCGAGTATCCCTCACCCGAGTTACTTGGATCATCTTTTGCCAACAATGGCGAAGGAGAAATAGACACCAACGGATCAGTTGCAAATGCAGGAGGTGGTGGCGGTAAGGAAACTGGATGGTTTCCGAACAGGTTCTTCTCTAGACCCGTCTGAATGATGGTGAACAGAAGCGATCAGTGATATCTACAAAGCCAATCTACAGAAGCTCAAAAGCATCACTAGATGCGAAAGAGAAGGCATGAAGAGAGAACATGTAAGACACCAGAACTCAAGTAGCATCCCATAATTTAAAGCAAGGACGCATACATGCAAATATCAAGTTTTTTTGTCTTACAAACATGTTAGACTCGAAGAGGAATTGTCTGTTCAGTTCAAATATCAGAAGACCATTGCCGCAGGAACTTTTACAGTCAGATGATAATGACATCAATTAATGGGGAAACATGGTATGCATATATGTAAGGAATTAGGAATCCTAGGACAATCCATCCCGAATTTGAACGGCAGGGAAACACGAAACAGTTTATTTGACTCAATTCAAACAATTGTTACAGACAAAATCAGTCTATTAAATGCAGCTACGCTATAAGGTTATGCTCCAAGTAAGTTCCAAAGGGATTATAGAGAATGATTTTTGGAGCAAACCATTCAGTTTTTCACAACCACAATGACTTCTTTGCAGTAATAGATCCCCAAAGATATGACAGAAAGACATGCCTGGATAATAGCTTCCTTCAGCTTTGAATAGAAACGAGATCCCGAGTCTTTAACATTTTTCGGAGGCCATATCTGCACAAATGAAACCATACGAAACGTCAGAACTGAGGAATGCATCATGAATAAAACTTCATAACAAAATAAATCTATGCAACCAACACCTAACTCAATTTTCTGCTGAGTTCTTTTGATGGTATAAAAAAGAAATGGAATTGGCAGAAGCCCAAACGACATGCCCCAGTCACAAAAGCAACACAGCTTAAATGGTCTATTGAAAGGGATTTATCTGTTATAACCAAAATAGAACCCTACATCATGCATTAACGAGAGATGTTCCCAATAACAGGGAGCTAGATCAGAAATGCAGGCATGTTCAGACAGATTATGTATTCAGTATCACAAGACAATTGATCATGAAATCATGTACCCAATTTTGAAGAGTAAAAAGTGACGCCAACATTCTTACTTTTTGGCCCACTAGGTGAGGCAAAGATTCAGTTGCGCAGATACACTAGACGATAAGAACTCTGGTGACCCCAAGGTTTTCATTGTTTTAATAAAATAAATGAAAGTACAGTACCAACAAAAGACTGAAAGCATAGCCAAATAATTTCAAACGAGACTCGAAGACAGCAGGTCATGCTTACTATACTCAAAAGACTCTTAGCTAAGATAAAACCAGAATCAAGACTTGATCGAACATGCAAGGTTAAAAAACATATGGAACATTCTATCCAAGATCTCATCCTATTCGGCCTAAAGTTTCCCGGAGTAAGCTAATGCTACCAGTAACAACATAGCAATTTCAGAAACACAATTTCCTCAGTACAATTCACTTTAGCAGCACGCAAGCTTGGCACTACTAGAAAATAACCTGAATCAGGAGAAATAAAGAACTCCAAAAAGAATGAATAAAAAAATACCGGTATTGAACACAATGGGCACACGTATCCAGCTGGTGCTGTGTGTGGAGGAAAGCTTTTGATATGTGAAACCAAACAACTTGTGTGTATTACATCTGCAACCCAGCTTAAAAGGTTAGATGCCACTCTCAATTTGCTAGGACAAAAAAAAAAGATTGGACCATAAGAGCACTTACGCATGCAACCCAACCGAGTTGTTTCACCAGAACCCTCGTCTAAAACAGCTTGGCATAAACAGCATTTAGGGGGCCAATCATACCCTCCATCTATTACCCACTCGGAGTACGTACGAACCTATCAAAGAAAACCAAGAAAATTAACACAGAATTTACAACAACCTCATGCAGAAGCTTTTCATTGGAATCAAGCAATTTAGTTGCCTTCGACCATTTTATGTTGGAAATCTGGACAATAGCAGATCAGATAGGTCTAGTATAAGAAAACTTTTCTCCCTTAGACACCTTGTTCCATAAGTCAGCAAGACTGTAATGTTTCACCTTGATCTGACGCTTATACTTTCGTTCCAAAGTTCAAAATAGTCATCTATGACTAGCATAACACAGACTGAAAACAAATCACTGCTAGTTTAGATCAAATATCTTTATTTACATACAAGACGCAACCAATCAATCATCATTCAAACAGCATCATGGGAACTTGAAACATAAACCACACATACCACGCATATCTGATGCTCTGGAAAGCAGATGCATTCCCCACAAAGAGGAACCTTGTGCACGAAACAATACAATTTAGTAGCCTGAAACAGCGAAAAAAACACAAGGATCTGTCAACATTGCGAAGTTGCAACAAACAAAGATCAGAAGAGAACATTTCAACGCAAATGCACGCCACAACCGGCTCATCATAGAAGTGGAAATTAGATCAAATTAGATCGCAGAATTCCGCCGAAGCATCACTCCCGAATCAGATCTAACAACTAATCTGCAAATGAAAATGCCTAGGTGAAGTCGAACGCTAACGAAACGTAATTGAGATGCAGGTTACCTTTCGGCATTTGCAGACCACCATCGCAGGGACAAATTGACCAGAAGCTCGATGATTTGTAGGGATGGAGAAGGAAGAGAATCAGCTCGAGCTCAGAGATGAATTCGCCCGAGTTCCAGCTAGGGTTTAAAGAATCGCCGCGAGAGAAGAACGCCAGCGAGCGAGCGGACGAGACCGGAGGATCTTCCCGTCTGCCTCTGGTGTGTATATTGTTGAGCGCCGTTTCTTTCCTCTTCGTTTTTTTTTTTTTTTTTTCCTTCTTTTTTTTTACAATTGACGGGGAGAGGGTGATTTTGTTTGGGTTTTTCCGGTTTAGTATTTGTCTTGCTAGTTGTCACTTGATGCGGATGTGGATGGACGGTCTCAATTGTCCTTTTAACGTGCAGATAGGGGTAAAATATTAGGCCCTGTTCACTTTCATTTTCGTTTCCTGTTTTCTATTTTCATGTGATAAATTTGGCAACTGAAATGAGAAAACTTGTTTACTTTTCATTCTGTTTTCTATTCGTTTCCAACTATGAAAACAGAAAGTGGCAACTTCCTGCTGTTTTCGAAAACGACAAAATGTTGTTTTCACCTGTTTTCAACATCTGTTTTCTCAAAAACAGGAAACAGAAATGAAAGTAAACAGGCCCTAAGGATATCATCAATTCATCATAGTTGTGACAACGAGTGACATGTCGATCGATTGCATTTTGTTTAATCAGTATTGGTATTGAAATAAATTTTAATGTCATCGGTATATGATGTTTTGATTAATTTCCGTCAATTTGAAAATTTCTGATGGTCCAACCGGAATGCTTAATTTCGAAAATTGATTAATGCGACATCATTTCTCGAAGGATATGGGGGACTAACGGATATGCCCGACCTACAAGAAATGCTCAACACTCATCACAACAATGCTAGGAGATTTTCCACAACAATATATGCTCGCTCCAGAAAATTGGGCGCTAGACACACATTTTCACAAATACACACATTCATTCGCCTTCAAGCGATGCTCCTCCACGGGAATGAATCTCGTCTCTCAATAGACACAAAATATGCAAGACAAATAAAGCATGATCCCGCTTCTCGGAAGGCGCGGCATCGACAAGGCAAAAAGCACAATCTCGCCTCCCAGAAGGCGTGACATTGGCAAGAAATAAGAGTGTATTGAGTTAAAAAAATCTCAAATTATGGGGTCATCCTCTCTAGCACATAGCTAACGCCTAATAGTCAGCCAACTACTTATTCTTAACATGTACAAAAGCTCATGCCCATCGCACTGTCCAACAACTTAATGCATATGCTCATAGTTACAACCTATCAGCGTTAACAACAGTAGGCTTGTGGAGAAATCTTAACGATTTGAGAGCTTTAACTCATCAAGTCGAAAGCTAACCAGGGGCCAAAAACAATGGTCATGCAACTCGCACAAAGGGCAAAAACACGTTGTTGAGACTCGCAAGTAAGGCAAATTAATACACTCTAACACATTTTGTTACTCCTTTCATTCTTAAATAATACAATAGCTAAAGGGGCAATTGCTGGGATATGATATTAATATGCCTAATACGACAAACGGTTACGTCATCGATGGGCCCAAACTCAATACAAGGCGTATAACCTTGCACCCATACCCACTTTAAGGAGGCACTCAAGGCAACGGAACTTTTCCTCCCTTCTTTCATTAGGACCACACAAGGTCTCTCTCTAAACTCTCTCTACTTTGCATATTACACATCCATATCTCGTACTAACTTGAGCGTCGGAGTATATATCATGGGAGTCATCACTCCCTCTCTCCACAAGTTCCTCGCCTTCCGAAGAAATGAAACGAGGAAATCCATATCAAAGCCTCAATAATAATTATTGTTATAAGCTCGGGTATCTCCTAGGTCGAAACCATAACTAATGAATAAACACTAGTGGGAAGGAATAAAATACACTTTAGTTTATATTTCGGAGTTGATCGATATTTCAGTATATTACCGATGTCAATCTCGTAATTTCTAATACCAAATAACACTTGAAATTCAATCACAATCTCATAAAATAATTTTAGTGCATTCGGTAATACCAAATATTGACAATTTTAATATGGTATTCGGTAATATCGGTACCAAACTTCTAGCCCTACCCGTTCAGACCACGAACCAGATTTTCAACCCGTCCAGTCTAATTTTACATAAATTGATTTTTTTTTAAATTGTACCTTTTTTTCAAGCAGTTGACTACGATGACTATTGAGATTGACGAAGATCGTGACTGCAACGACCTCACCGAAATCTAACAAAGACTCATCAACGAAGAAGGGTGTTGTTGATTTTGTGTTGTTAGGTTTTGTTATTTAGGTTGTTGGGTTCTTTTGGAGAGAAAAAAGTTCCAAATGTGTTGAGAGTTATGTTTTGATTTTTAAGAATTTTTAAAACAAAATCAGAAAAAGAGTAACAAAATCATTTCACTAGATTTTAAGGAGATAAAATTACGAATTTTAGAGCGGCTGGCTCTTTTCTTTTTTCGGATAGCAAAACGGAACCCGTGAAACTCGAGAGAGCAGAGCACAACACTCTTATTTACTAGCATCATCGCCTTTGCCCCTCCGTTCCAATTTCGAATTCAAATTCCTTACCCCTCTCCTCCGTTCCCACCGCTGCCGCCTTCCTTCCTAGTTCCTTCCTTCCTCCTCCTTCTGCATCTAGCTTCCATCAAGTTACAGTACACCACTGTTCTTCTCGATCCTCCTCCTCCTCCAAACTTCCTCCCCGAAAACCCTAACCGCCGCGCCATCCCAATGACAGGTGTCGTCCCGCCGCCGGGATCCGGCCGTGACCTCTCGAACCCACCTGCCGACGGTATCTCTAATCTCCGCTTCTCCAATCACAGTGACCACCTCCTCGTCTCCTCCTGGGACAAGGTAACAATTCGCCTTCTTGTCGACTCAATCTCTGTTCTTTTGTCGCTCTTTTTGGTTCTACCTGGATTGATGCTGATGCGTGTTCTCTTAGAGCGTGAGGCTGTACGACGCGAGTTCCAATGTCTTGCGGGGAGAGTTCTCCCACGGTGGAGCCGTGCTTGATTGCTGCTTCCACGACGACTCCTCTGGGTTCAGTGCTAGCGCCGACAATCTAGTTCGCAGGCAAGTTTCCAACTTTCGTTCTTCCTTTGTGCTTTGCAGTTTGTAGTGAACTTGGATTTGGAGATTTTCCTGACCTGGAACGTGGCTTGGTCTTCACCTGGATTCTCTTTCCCCTGATATTGAATAATTAAGATCCCTTTAGGTCCGCTGCATCATATAATGTCGAGAGTGCTTCAGTTGATCCGTGTCAAACCTTTGGCCTTAAGGGAAAATCTAGTGCTAGTTCGCTTGCTGGCATTTCATTAATTTTGAACCTCGTGTTTCATAGCCTTTGTAGTCGAAATGAATTAGCTATGAGCAAAAGTTTTTGTCATTGTTGTAGTGGGTTCTTTCAGTGATTTTAGGTTAGGGATGCTGCCATTGGAACAGGAGTTAAAACAGATCGTGTACGGACAGTCTGCAAAAGTAAAGACTACAGAACAGGAATTGATATATAGTATAAATAACTTAATGCTCCTTCTTTAGTGTGCTAGCTGTTGTGTTCTCGAACCGTTGAATCATTTTTATCCTGATGTAATGTTTTTTTTTTTCTTTTCCTTTCACTGTGAATCAATATGTGTAAGCTCTTGCTTTTCTAAATGATTTGGGTTTCCTGAGGATTCTCCACCCGTGCAGTATGAATAACATCTCTGACCCCATTCTGTTGATGTTTCAGACTTGTTTTTAATCAAGGAAAGGAAGATGTTTTGGGGAAGCATGAAGCACCAGTCCGTTGCATAGAGTATTCTTATGCATCAGGTGAGATAATCTAAGATTTATCTGTAGAAACGTTTACGTACTTCAGCTTTGTTAGGGTCATTGAGAGCAATTTCTTTCCTACAAACTTATTCATCACCATGTGCATTCCTTTCAAGTTTCATCGTCAATCTATTTTGTCCTTCTTTCTTTTTGAGTGTTTTGTCTATATTGATGTTTCAAGCTAACAATTATTTAGCTGTACAGTAGCATCTATTTTTATGTTGGTTATTATAATGTGTGTATCTTAATGAGCTGATGATTGAATGTGTGATCTATCTCTGTGTAATAGGGCAAGTGATTACTGGTAGCTGGGACAAAACAGTGAAGTGTTGGGATCCCAGGGGAGCAAGTGGACAAGAGCGCACTCTCATCGGCTCATATGCACAGCCTGAAAGGGTTTACTCTCTATCTCTTGTTGGAAACCGTGTAGTGGTAGCCACAGCAGGTAGACATGTAAATGTCTATGATTTGAGAAATATGTCTCAACCAGAGCAGCGAAGGGAATCTTCATTGAAATATCAAACACGATGTGTGCGCTGCTACCCCAATGGCACAGGTATCGACAGATCCTATTTTTGAATTAGTTTGTTCAGCTTACTGGTTCCATTTAACTGGATAAAAGAACAATCTATATCTTGAAGTCTGTATGTCCTCTTGACGATTGATATCTTTCTCTTACATGCTTACTGTGGAAAATTCTTTTATTGCTGATGTAATTGGACGAGAGACTGATCTGTTTCGTGAAGCATGTGTAGTCTCTCGAAGAGCCCTATGCTTGAAGATTAATAGTTTCCTTCAACATGTTTGATAATTTTTCTTTGACCTTTAGATCTTATTCTTCCACCGTGCTATGCAGGATATGCTCTTAGTTCTGTAGAAGGGCGTGTAGCAATGGAATTTTTTGATCTTTCAGAGGCAGCTCAAGCTAAAAAGTGGGTATTCCATTTCCTCAACCTTTAGAAGAAAACTTAACACATCGTCTCCTCTTACTCGGTCATTATCACAATGTAAAGTTTCAACAAGTGTGTTGGTGATTTTTGCTACTGCTAGTACTGCTTCATGCAGGGTCAAATGGTTGATTCTGATAGGATATTTAAAGCAATAATGCATAGTTTGTGGGGATCTTTCACCTTTGAAATTTTTGAAAGGGGTGGGATGTGGGATTAAACCTATGAGCTCTATGATTTGGCTGGTACCCAACCATTAGACCACACGGTCCACACGAGGTCCTCCATAGTTATGTTTTCTATTTAATGGGATCAAACATATTCGGTCACATGTTCTCTGCTGCTAATATTTATACTCATTGCAGATATGCATTCAAGTGCCATCGGAAATCTGAGGCTGGAAAGGATATTGTATATCCTGTAAATGCCATTGCTTTTCATCCTGTGTAAGTTTCTAAGCATCCCTGTAGATTTACCTTTCTCCGCAGATTTCAAAAACAGAAAAAAGGACAGCAACCT